TGGGTTGGTCCTCTGCAAAACATGCCCTGGAAGGCCACATTTGGAGCCAAATAAAAGATTGCTCATCTGTAGTCCAATGGAAAAGACTGCCATTTTTTTTATTATTAAAATGTTATTACTCTTTTGTAAGGGAAAAAACCTCTCATGTAAACTGATAATTTACACTGATGTTTTATGAGGGTTTTGTTCACCTTGCAAGTACAGATTAGCAAATTATGATTTAAAGTATTGATGGCATTCTTGCCAATTCCCAGTTTTCCCAATTCCATTGAAAGAAATAACTCTTTAAGGCAGTTAAACTCCTAAACAACATTGAAAAGAGAAACTAGCATTTGAGTTGGGTGCAATGCAATGCCACGCTGCTTATATTGTGCAAACCCATTTAAGCAAAGGATCTGAAGAAAATGCAAAATTTCTGGATGATTGAAAGTTTGGATTAAGGTTTTCATGTGACTTTCTTTTCAGAAGAACATTTTCTTAATCAAAGTCATAATCCATGAGAATGGGTTTTCCTATTGACTAATGTATCTTTGTAAGCTGTATTCTTTCATAATTCTGATTTATTTCAATAGCACTTAATCAATGGGGTTACCTGGTACACTTGCCTAGACAACTTTTCTTGGAAAAATGTAAACTATGTGGCCTGTTTCAAGAATGTTTTTTAATATTTTCAGTGCCATCAGCTCTGAACTCCTTCACAGAAAATGTTTCCAGTAATAATCCTTTTAAAAATCATGAAAAATAAGTTTTGGAAACAGGTCAATTGATTCCACCATTCCTACTATTTTAACAGAATTACATTGACATGGTGGTGGGTATGAATTTGGCTACTCAAAACTTAAACAGGAGGAATTCTGCTGTGAGCCTGTGAATATTATTGGCATCAAAGCTATAAATACATAAGCCAATTGTTTTCTTCTCCCTTGCAGAATATTGCCTAGAACAGAACATTTGAAATAAAAGCTACAGCATGAGTGAACGAAAGCTTACACATTGTTTCTCATCTGTGTGCCTAGAATGTACTATGCCTCAAGGCTCTGTAGGATAACAGCAGATATAAAATGGAAAACACACAACAGGAGATGCACATTGCTGCATCCAATATATATATATATATAAAATGGCATTTCCCAAGAAAATCAATGGCAAAAATCCCCCAAAATTAAATGGAAATGGGTTCAGTGTCACAAACAGATGCAAGAAACACTTAATGATGGTTGATAAATGTCAGTCTGTAAACATTTCTATAAATCAAGCCTGCGTGATCAGGAGCTGCCGTTTAGAACACACGCTCAAAGCTTTCCGTTTACGAACCGCTTGCCAAAATGTAAAAGTAGTACCAATGCACAGACTTTCTCTCATCATGCTTTAAATCCTGGAAATTGTGCTGTGTCCAGTTAGATGCTTGGGTTGCTGCAGAATCTCGCATGCCCCTGAGCCAGGAGCCAGGAACTGGCATGCGAGCTCAGGCATGTTGAGATGTTGCAGCCTCTCTCCCTGCCATCCCACTCCAGGCGATAGACCCCTGTCAGGATTCTAGACAAGAGTCCTCCAGCACAACGCTGCGTTCAGCTAGTGTTCTCTAACCCAAGATGCCCTGTGGCTGAGAGAACCGCAGCTTTTCCAGGCAGGCAGCGCTCAGGGGCTCAAGTGGCCTCTCTTCTGCCTAATGAGCAGTGAGCCAAGGACTCTTCCCAGCCTCTCTCCCTTTGACAAGGAAAAGGATCACCAGCCAGTGAGCCATAAAGGCCTCCCTTGCTCTGAATAAACTCAGAGAATGTACTGCCACTCTGGTACATGATGGTCGTAGATTGTCCCTTGTCCAGGGGTATACTTTGAAGAACAAAGTATCAATAAAATAAAAAATTAAGCAATGCAGATAAGCCTTGTTACTGTACAGATCCAACCTGTAGGAGAAAACTGAATGCCTGCCTAGAGTAGAAAGAAGCAAAATTATTGGGGGACAAAGGAAAGAAGAAGAAGAAAGCCTTTGTCTTTGGCTCTTTTCACCAGCTCCTTTGGATGAAAGCACCAGGAAGGAGTTTCTTTGTAACTACAGTATAGGCAAGGATGCTGTCCCGCTCAAGTCTTCTCTAACTTGAGCCCTGAAGTTATCTACTAAACATTTCTGATGACACGTTCTTAAGATAATTTAACATATGCTACCCTTAACACATTGTAATAACCTGTAATCAAGACGGTTTAAAACTTAGGATAGGTTTCCCCCTCCATACACACACTCTTTCACTTTCTATTCAGATCTTCTATGCTGATGACTATAATCTGTTTTAGTGATGCTCTGAGTACAGAACCAGGAAGTGGTAGTTAGATTAATTAACCTGGAATAAAGAGTGTGATCTTGTGATGTGCAGTAGGACACAATTTGGCTCTCATGTTGCTGCAAACGAGGGGGAGTAAAAAAGTATTTTAAAAATTGATCAAAATATTACTTAGGTTGAAAAGGGTATAGCTGTCTGATTTGGATAAGTGTGCGAGGGGTCAAATTCATGCCTATCTGATACATATATTCATGTTAAGATTCGCACACTCAGTCATGTACAAGGAAGGGAATTCCTTGGAAGATGGCTGATCCTCAGGAGAGATTATATTGTGTTATGAAGAATTATGCAGTTAACTGAGCTGTTTGTATAGGACTGATTTTCCTGATGCCTGCAATTACATGCATGTCATATTATTTTATGCATAAAATGCGTACTCTCTCTCTGAAAAAACATTTAAAATGATCAGCAGAAATAAATAGCTGACTTTTATGCAAAACATCTCTATTAGTTGTGATTCCTAGGTTGGGTTTTCCACATTATTATAGATATTTCTATTTCAGAAAAGCCACCATGCTCATTTTAAACTCATGGTGTGTGTGTGTGTGTGTGTGTGTGTGTGTGTGTGTTTTAATTAAAGCCATATTATTATAGGTTATGCTTTTCTGCATTTGTCACAAAAGAAAATTATGCATCTGGATGCTTTTATGGCATCAGCAAATTGTCTCAAAGCAGCCACAGTGTCTCCAACTTATAGAAAAGTAGTATTTGATTATGTTATGGCACACTGAACAGAAGAGAAATGTTATTCTCTGTCTTTTGTGAGTACAGCTTGTGGTGTTTTCTCTTTGATTCCAAATTCCCTGTGCTTTCATACATCATCAGATCTGTTTTTCCTTGCAACATTGCAAGTAACAGCTGGACCACAATGAACCTCCTCCATAGATGTGGGAATGTTTATATTTAGCTGCCAATGACTAAAGTCCTTCGGCTTTCACTAGCCAGTCACAGTTTGCATTGTTGTTGCCTGTTTATTTTCCTTCTCTCTTTATTTCTTGACATGCACCTCTCCACCCTCGCCCACACTCATGCAAAGTGCATTGAAATATTAGCCAGGTTAGAAGTTCATTGGGAAATTACACTAAGAATGTGCTTTGAGAAGGCACATAGAGAGATTGTTTCCTCAGAGAGCTTTGCTTTTGTTATAATGCACCAGTTTAATCATTTAAAAGGAAAAGGTCTGAGACTGCAATCTTGCAACCAAATATTCCAGCTTAATCCCATTTGATTTAACCTGGATTTATTTGAAGATAGATTGCTTTAGGACTGCTGCAGCACTGAAGTAAGTAGAAAATGTTAACCCTTTCTATAAATCCACATTTATGCAGCATAATTCAAAATGCAGACCTTCCTTAAAAGTTAGCTAGATTTCTCCCTATTAAACAACTCTTTCCTTGCATACACTTCTGTGCAACAGGAAAAAGTTTCCTTTTTATAGCTATTCTAGAGAGACTTCCATATATAGCTCTGGTGTTCCAGCAATCTGTTAACTTTTCAGCTAAGATTTCAAACCAAGCAATAGAATATATAAAAGTGATTTCTTGAGGACCTCCAATATTTAAAAACAGAAAATAATGTCAAAATAAGATTTGTCTGTACAAAAATATATATATTAAAACCTAACAAGGAAAAAAAATTGGCCACACCACACTATAAGGTTAAAAAGAAAATAGTATAATAAAGGAAATACAAAGGCTTTGGCATGGTTTTTACAATCAACAATGGTTAATTTTGATATGTCGTTGTGAACAACTTCAAAACACTTAAGTTTAAAACTCTTGCAAGCACTTTTAATTGATTAGGAATGAATTTTAGATGCACAAAAATGATTGGACTGTGAACAGTAGTACAACTTCAGCTAAGAACAATTAACTTTTGCTGACCAAAAAAGAAACGTTTGATGCATGAAAATGTGTATAAAACATCTATAGAATATTCTTGTCAAATATAAATGAAATTAACTTTATTATAGAAATCATTCTGGGAGATTTCTAGGGAAGACAAATACTTACATTTTGACATAAAACAAATTGGATTATATCGAAGACACAATCTATCCTTTTCCTATCAAACTTTTCTTCTTTGAAGTTCTCTCTTGATCCTTCGTTTGCACATAAGCATCATCTGTTAATAACCTTTGGAAATCCCAACAGATATTTTTCTTACAGAAATCTAATGCCGTATTGTTCCAGGTTGAATTATATGCAATGGAATGATACAAACTTGAAGCATCAGTCTGAAATCTATGAACAGATTGGTAGAAGTATTCGATATAGCTTGATAAAACTCTTAATTCGTGGCAAAGCTTGTTGATCATGGCTTCCTTTTTTAAAAATAAAATAAAAAACACAACTTCATGACCAACACAAAAGCAAACATCCATTCAGTCTACATTGTTCTTTTTTCATTATAACATACAAATGCCCATTTACAAATAATACATCAAAATGAATAAAAGTTTGGATACCAAAATGAAGATTTGTTCCAACTGATATAATGCCTTCATGTATACAAAGGTCCATGTTAAAGTCTTTCTCCATGTGTTATGTCGTAGGGCACAGTTGCAGTACAGACGTACTCTGAAAGCCGTTCTTCTTTTAGAAAACACAGCCAGACCTCCAACTGTTGTCCATAGAGCCATTTACAAAATCAACACATGGTTTACTGTAATCTTGGCCAATATTGAGACATATCAGGTTCACTGCCGGGAACTTGAACAGGAACTGACACTCCAGGGGAAATAAGACCTTAAAAGAAAAAGAAGAAAAATTTTGTAGAACCAAACACACATATATTCAGCTTCTCTGTGGCCCTATTAAAAGGGGGCTTTCTTCTAAAGCTTCCAGAGCTATGTTAAAGAAGTCAATAATATCTTTCCCCGTTTGATCATTTCCTAATTTTAGGAAATCAGTTGACCTAGCCATCTGCAAGCATAGTAGAAAATCCTTTTTGGCCCCACAGTTAAATGTCCAGTCAGTCTGCTCTAACATTTTCAAATTGTAATGGGATACAGTATTTTATTTTTATGTTCCAACTTTATCTAGAAGTGCTGAGAGGGGGAAAGATATAAACTAGAAGGAAGAAACAAAACAATGTTCTGTTCATCATTCCTTCCTTCCTTCAAGAGCAGCCCCCCCAAAACAAGCCAGGAATGGCTTCCCTATTTTATACATGAAGAGTCAAGCCACTAGGTTTAAGCAACTGCTACTAGGACTGGGTTTTTAACAGGTAACTAACAATCACATTTGGATAGAAAATTAGCAATAACTTTCTGAATAAATTGTTGAGATCAGACTGGCAGGAGAAACAACTCCTTTAAATTCCTTTTGACAAAGAAACAAAGGAGTGCTTACCTGTTGAAGTTGCGCCAGAGGCGCCCATTGGCTGGCTGTTCATATGTGTCTGCATGTGAGGAGGGGTATATGTATCATAACTCCTCCCATTTACTGACGGACTTGTGGGCAGCATGCAAGAGTAAGAGGAAGTCTGGCTGGGTACCGGGGGCTGAAAGAACAAAGCAAGGCTTGTGAATTTCAGCAGCATCATATAGCCATTGTTTCCTTTTAGGGACAGTAGATAGACTCTACACACAAAGAAGTAAAACATTCATATTTAGTGCCTTGTTCCACAGAGTGCTCAGTCTTCACGGTTCCCACCCCCAAAAGAGGGCAAATGATTCCCCATCTACATTCCATGGCATGCAGAGAACAGGTCCTTCCACTTTAAGTCTTACTTATTATATTCAAATAGGGGCTACTTTCTTTGAGCACTTCACTTCCCCAGATTTGAGCACTTTCAGATCTGTCACTGGGTTGGGGAGTGGAGAGTGGAGCATCCTTGCTCAGAAGCATTAACTGTGAATTGGGCTATGTTTTTGTTTATATTGGAATGCATGTTAAGAGTATCTCTCAGAAGTGCCAATCCTAATGATTTTCTCAAATTCAGAAGGAATCATCTATCTTCTTGTTTGTAGCAGGAAATCAGATCAGCTTACCAATCTATAAGCCTTACAGTGAACACCAAAACAAAAACATTTTCTCTCTGGGTCTTGTGCACAAGCTTCCCACAAGTTGGTCTACCATTTGGGAATCACTGGTGCAGAATAGAAATTAGGTTGTGCATGAAAGCCACATCACTGAAGACAAATATTGCTTTTAAGAACTGATATCACTCTCAGTGTTTGGCAATGTAATGGTTTAAGTCTTACATCCCAGTCCAATTTCTGGATCAGTGAATATGTTAGACTTCAAGGTGACAACCAGTTTAAACCCATGAGGAATAGCAGCTTAAATCTAAATATTTTATCATAGTCAGGTTATGGATTGGCCTGGTTTTCTAGTTGTTTACCTATATTTATTCAGAACAGCATTGATATAGAAAGCAGCAGATATAATACAACAGGCCCATTGGTAACCTTAATAATATACAATCCACTAATTTATACCTGTATTTATCCCCAAACTGATTGTCATTTGGACTGAGTTGTGTTTTTTTGGGGGGGGGCTGCTAAAAGTAATTAGGTTTCTAATTCCCATTACAATATTCCCTGTGATTTGGATATTTTACTTTCTAATCTCTCTTAACTCTCTGTCTTTCCTTTGAAAGTACTGCTGTTACATTTTTGTGGATATTAGGTTACAGTTGCACTCTGGCTATCTGTGTAAAAGTGCTGCTTCTTCCTCAGCAATCCACATAAAACAGAAATAACAATTGCCTTTATTTTAGGAATATTGTTTTGCTTCCACAACGACTGTCAGGTTCTTAAAGGACTGTATTTTGAAACATTCTGTATTTATCTTTTATCCAGAATTTATCTTTCATGTATTATCTTTGGATTATTTTAGAACTCTTATCAGGCATGCTCAGATTCCCGCTCCCAATAATCCTGGGTTCAATTAACAAAGCGTTCCCAACCCAAAATGCAACTCTGGTCCAAAATACAAATTCAGATGCACATGCCAAGTAAATAACCAACATAAAGCCCTTCCCAACATTTACTCATGACTATGCATTAATATACTAGCTTCAGTTCTAAATTCAAGAGGCATGCCATACAGACATACTGTATTTACTGCAAATGTATTTGTATTTGATTGATTGTGGAGGTGGGGGTCATAAAGAACATAGCAACCTATTCCATTATGGCCAATTCTACTATGATCTGATTTCCCCAAGTTCCAGCCTGAAATAGCTGTACCAGTCAATGCTTCATGAAAAGCCATGGAAAACCTATAGCTTCTGTATCTTCCTATGAGCTCCATCGCATGTGCACAATAATGATTGGGGACCCTAGCATTGTATTCCCCCCCCCCACTCAGCCAGCTAGTTATCCACCTGCTTACAAGCATGAGGTTTGGCAGCTCTGTTCACTTTAACACAGCTATTTAGAACTGCAGGTGCTGTTCACATCCTCCTCTCCCCCTTGGGTATTTCTAGGGTGCCAATAGCCACAGTGTCTCATCAGCCAAGGTGTAATCCTGCTAGCATTTTAATAAGCCTTTTCTCCTCACCAATGCTATACTAATGAGTTTCTCTGGTTGGGTACATTTTTTTTCTTAAACAGATTCTGAAACTTTTGCTTTATGAATTCAAATCCATGAGCGCCAATTAACTCACTACACATATTTTTCACAATTTTATCAAGTCCTTTATTTCTCTTTTCCAGTCCAGATGATCACATTCCAGGTTTGGAAAGCTCTTCCCAGTTATTGTGTACCTAACTATCATGTTCCATTGCAACAGTCCTTTTATGTTGGCTCATTCTACAACTTTTAGATCAATGGGTTGTATGCTGCCCTCCTATTCATGGAAGGCTCTTTCATCCAGTGGAGGTTTCCATGAATGGAAAGAAGGGGGAAGATGTTTTTTGCAAATTCCCCTTTTCTCCCGCAGTCGCCAGCACTATCTTCCATGAGGGTACTCAACCATTTTAGGGGAAATCAGAGAAAAGGGGGATATCACAATGCCACGCCTTCCATTCACAAAAATATCTGCTGGATCAGAGTGCCTTTCTTGAACAAATCAGACACTTTAGAAGCCCTGATTCAGTTGAAATCGCATGTGCCCTACTAGAAAAACTAGTCATAGACCCCGAGTCTAAACATATTAGCCTTCATTCGGAAAATGTTTGCTGCACTTTTGTTCTATGGAAATCACTCAAGCAATGTATAACATTTTCTTACGATATAGCATGCATATTCAAAGAGATCCACAACATTTATACACAATGCATCAGCCGCCTGTCAAGAACTCTCAAACAGATTGAAATCAGTGAGACAATTAATCACAACTGACTGAAATGCCATGGGGCTTAAGCACAATCAACTCTAACTGGATCAGGACCAACCACCATGATTCAATATAGATTTCATGCATGTTTCATTCTGCACAAGACTGTATCCTTTAGGTGGCATTTAGGTCTATTGAGTGCCTTGTAAAGTATACAAGGTCAGGGTGTCAGTTGTATACCCCAATGGGCAAACTCCCATTAATTACCTGGATGTTCCTAATACACCCTTTGGTGATAATTTTCCTATTGCTCCGGGAACTTTGCCTCTTTGAAATCAGAGTATTATGCAACTTGTATATTTACCAGGAGTGGAATACCCAATAATATTGACAAATTTGCCTTTTAGTTGACTCATAGCCTATTAAATTGAGTTCATAAGAGATCTTAGGTATGGTCCCATTCTTTTAATTAATGTTAATCAATTGCAAATTAAATTATTCTGGATTAACAACTGTCACATTTTTCTACAGTAAAACATAAGAAGAGTGTGCTGGATCAGACCAATGGCCCATCTGATTCAGTAACCTGTTATCTCAGTAGCCAATGTATATCAATGGTCATGGACACCATTTAGAATCATGCTGTAGTCAAAGGCAAGTCTTCTTTTAAAAATGTGGGGGACTCTAATAGTGAGTTAATAAACAAGGTTAGCGACCGTTAGAGGGTGTCTAAACTGTCCTTGAACACTACTGTTGTGAATTAGAAGCAGGTTCCAGCCTTGCTTCCACACAGCAAAAAGTTAGCTGTGGATAGGGTTAATGCTAAGACTCCCAACTCTGGAGAAACTCAGAGCAACGCCACTTAGCCAGCAACTTCCTGCCATCTTGCCCAATGTTCAATTGCTTTAGATATTGTAAATTGGGTTTGAAAATCCCCATGCCACACTAATACAGGACTTTAAAATAATAATAATAATAATAATTGCATATGGCAGTACCAAAGGAACAGTGCTAAAAAATTATTAGTCATTCTTTTTATTTACTTATTCTGGCCTTCACTCCCAAGCATTACAGTTTTCCCTTGGTTTATTCTCACAAAGGTCCCTGGGATAGTGATTTGTCCAAGGCCACCCTGCGAGCTTCATGCTGAATAGGATTTTGAACCATATCTAAACACTATCCACCAGTGGTGCTGTCAAGGTATGGCTTTGGGGAGAAAGTGCAGGGCCCCAGTCATCAAAATGACCAGGAGGACCCACCAAAAATGCCATAGGGCTGACTTACCACACGTTGAAATAATGCACATTACCATATGGAGGTGAGAGGTGGGGGAGGGGGAGAGCGAGCGAGCCATAATTTATTCTAAAACTACCTAACTCACACAACTGCTATCCACAACAACAATTCAGTGGCTTCTACAGGATAGTATTGCCCATACAAAAGGAACAGAGTGGCAAACATAAGAAATCACTGAATTTAAGCATCCCTGTGAAAGCTCAGAAGGACCAGATTAAACTATTGATGTTTTACTCAGGAGTGACCTGATTGAAATAAAAAGGAGAAAACTATGCAGCATAGGAGCAAACTCCTAGGGGCCGAGGTCCCTTCACCCTCCCTCCAATAAAATATTTGAGGGGGCCGGGCCCCCTGGAAGTTGATGGGCATTGCCATTCAAACGGTGCCTGTCCACCAAGTCTTGTGGTCGATTATGCAGGGCAGGGCTTACTTCTCCCCCCCCCCCATATTTTATTCAAGTTGGTACCCCTGCTTTGGAGTAGCCAGTTTGGAGGCTGCTGCCTTGCTCCTTCCAGGGTTTCAAACCCAAGAGCACTTTACTCTGATTAATTGTTCTCAAAATACCCTTTAGCTCTCTGTCAGAATCAAGGTAGTTAAACCTTGGCAAAAATGATGTCCCGAGGCCTGTTTATGGATAAAGTGGAACTTCTGGCCGGCATTGTAGACCGCTAGCATAAAGCCAGGCCCTGAGAGCTACTCCACGTTAATTAGCCCAAGGAAGAAATCTTGATGAGTGGCTCAAGCACCTCCATTAGGCTAATCAGTCTCAAGGAGGTTCCATGTTGACTTCACAAATTTGAAGACTTCATAATGGTGTGAAAACAGAAATCCCCTTGACCTTTGACAACCTCCTCTTTTGGCCTGGAATTGGCATTTTCCACCCCAACCATCGAATGGACAAGGCTCTGCCCAGCTCAGAGAGAGAACAAGAAAGTGGGGGGAAAGAAAGAAAGAAAGAAAGAGAGCATATTAGTGGATTATACTTACTTGCATAGGCAGGTTGTTAGCCATTGTGAAGCTAGGCATGGGTGGCAAAGCACTGTATGTGTTTGTTAGCGCGGTGTCTGTTCTGCCCAGCATTGAACCTGATGTGAAAGAGGAAACTATAATAGAATAGATAGATAGACAGGATGGACGTATTAGTTTACGCTTCAATCAGATGACTGTATTACTGTACAGAGCGTTCTGTTCTATTGCCCCAAATGGGTGACTGACTGATCAATACATTTCTGAAAGCACATTACCAGGTGTTGTGGGTTGCGGGATTGGTTGGTAGACACTTGTGCTAAAACTACTGCTGATGGGAATGTGGCTGGGGGTGTTGCTGGCTTGTCTTCTCTGATTCCTTAGCTTCTCTTCCCGTCTCCATTTTGCCCTCCTGTTGGAAAACCACACCTGCAAAACGCAAGAGCCTTTCTGTTAGCACTGTGAAAAGAGGACCTTGTCCTATCACGCATCATTCAGAGCAGAAGACCCAGCTACTTCTCTAGAGCTACTCATGGGAAGCCTCTATAAAGACAGAGCCTCACTGCAACCTTTTTTCATATTTATCTATTATCTATTTAACAAAATGACTGGGGAATAAACAGGGAACCACTGATCTACAAAGTCATCTGCATGTGTGACTGGCTTCCCACAGGGCAGATTGGATGCACATCTACTACACACCTGCACACATGGGTTTTTGTTAGGGGGGCAGGCCTTTTGTTGGGGGGGCAGAACCTCAGTTTGCTATGTGTTTTTATTGATTTTTATTGATTGGGGGGGCAGCTGCCCCTCCCTTGTGCCCACGCCTGCACATATATAGCTATCTAGGCAAGAGCCAGATGGAACAACAAGCACTGCTTGGGGCTTTCCTGTCCTCATGCATGGGAAGGGCTGTAGCCCAGTAGGAGAGCATCTAGCTTGGAATGCAGACGGTCCCAGGTTCAATCTCTGGCATCTCCAGGGAGGGATTGGAGAGGCCCCTGCCTGACAGAGAGCTGCAATGCACACAACACTGAGCCTGATGGACCAGTGGGCTGACTCAGGATAAGACAGCTTCATGTGTTCCTATCAGGCTGCAGATGGACAGCTTTGTTGGAGACTAGGTATTTCCCCCTGAAAACATCAGTGTCCCCCTTTACAGGGTGATGGGGGGGGGAGGGGAAGAAAGAAAACATTACATAGTCACTTGAGTACCTGTATTCTTGCTTCAGGCAAGTCTATTTTGGCAGCTAGTCTCTCTCTGGCAAACACATCAGGATAGTGAGTTCTCTCGAATTCTGGTAGAAAGGAAACGTGGCAGAGTTAGTTTTAAAAACAGATCTCAGAAAGGACGGCCGCTTCCTGCTTTCAGCTGTCTATGTTTGAGTGCACTTTATGCTTTCAATCTTTTATGAGGAATATTTCCACCAAAGTGCTCCTATGATTTTTATTCCTTTCCTTTAAGAAGAGGGAGATGTCATTGTTCAGTGTTCACACACACATATACATTCTCTCACCCTGCTAGATAAATATGTGATTAATACCAGACTATGCAATTATAGGAGTAGATTGTTAAGAAGGAATTGACCAGAGTTCCTCTGTGTTTGGATGTATTTAGAGCAGCCAATGCATAAAAAATGAGGGCCTCCTTTTCCTGTGCTAACATTTGAACATGAGTAAGTTAATACATGATCATCTAATCGGATTTCAAGCAAAGCGTTTGAAATCTGGGCCCGGAATCGGAGGTGCATCAAAAGAAGCAGAAGGACAACTGTCCTCTGGGGCAACTGGTAATGCCAGGACAGGAACTGCAGTCTCAGTATCCTGAAAGCTGCCCTTCAAGCATATAATGTAACCTGAGAGAAGGGCGAGGTTGGCTGCAGTCAGAAGTCTCATCACCATGACTCAGCCAATATGCGCTGCCCAACTGCGGCACTGTGGAGCAGGTGGATTGTCAGTTTAGAATGCTGTCCTTATCATGTCACCTCCAAGCATTTAAAAGATGCCTTTGGTAGGAAAACCATGTGAGATCCTCGTCAATGTCCATCGAAGAATTTCTTTGGAACTTGTCAGGATGGGCCAGAAGAGAGCAGAGGATGTGAAGCCCTTCCCTAGTTTTGACTCAGGCACATGCCACGTACCTTTCTCAAGCGCTTCAATTTGTTCTTGGGTGAAGGAGGTCCGATTTCTTTGCAGCTTCCTTTTCAGCTGAAGCCTCATCTGGGCCTCGTCTGAATCTTCTCCATTGGAACTGATGGAGTTGGTGTTTTCTCCCCCTCCTTCTTGTTGCGGACAACCATCTGCAACAGAATGAGGAGGCCATCCTGAGAAAGACCAAGCTGGACCGCTATGTTCTAGCACAAAAAGTCAGCCGTGACCCCAAGGACATAGCTTCTTAACCTTGCCCAAGTTACAACCACCCATCAGCTTACTTGAGGGTGAGATGAGGCCTCGTGATAAATTGTATGAGAAGCCTCTTATTGGTCAAGTTGTTTCTCAGTTAAACCAAACATATTTGAGGTCAATGTATGTCCAGACCCAAAACATGCTACCACCTGATAGTTCTGCAGTACATGTATCTCACTGAAGTTACATGAAACTTCCTTGCATATAATCAGCTTGATCCAACTTCTGCTGTGGGGCATGGAGCGGTTATACCCAAAGGAGGTGCACAAAGTGGGCATCTAAACAAAAGGCAGAGGGGAATCTACACTTCCAGGCTCTGAGTGTGCATGGCAACACTTGTGGAGTTTCAGACTGAGATTGGTGTAATAGGAATTGGGGATCAGAAGCCCCGGTACTCTATTCTAAATGGTTTGTGGACTAGAGTGTGAGGCTTAAGCCCTTGGTCCATACTGAAATACATGGACTACTGTGGGACTGGTGATATAAGGACAAACAATGCCTTATTTAAAAGGTTTATCAGTCTTGAAATCTTGGGTGGGATAGTGACTGATGAAAAAAGGTCACCCCCCTCCCACTTGCAATACAGAGGAGTTCAAAGGAATATGTAACAAAACACAAATTAGTATGTAACAATGGGGGACATATATCATGTTCAAATAAAGAAGATGCAGTTTATCTAAATAACAACATATTCCCACTGTATGAACTAAAGATTAATAATACATTTTAATTCTATTGATAAAAGACATCACTTCTCCCTCCCATACAAATACAACAATCCAATAAATTATTTCAAGTGGAGATGGTTGTAACTTTTTGAAAATGCCCTGCAAAAGATCCTCTCTGTATGGAATTTATTTACCTATTGCTGCACTTAAAATAGTGATGTTCAGTATTTCAGATTATCTATAATCAGTAATTCCTATCTAATCAATTAGATGTTGATAGGTTTGCAGAAAATGCTATTAAGAAACCAAACCAAGCTTGTAATCTTTTTTAAAAAATATTTATCTAGTTTTGATTTGAATTCTGCACAGTCAATTTCATTTTAAAGGTTGTGGATTTAGAAGTGCCTGCATTGTTCTGCAGTTTTATTCAACTATTGTATGAGTGTGCATTGCCTTGACACCTATTACAGAGCACAGCTGTAATTATATCATCACCAAGAACAGGCTATAATTGCTGAAAATGGAATTTTATATTTAGATAAAAGGACTGTCCATTCTTTGTAATGTGTTGCACCAGAGAAAAGTAAGATTTCTTTAAAAATTTTAACATGTAATTTTAAAAAGAAATAGTAGCGAGTTCGCTAAGTAGCTAAATATGCTATTCTGCAGCTGAGCGCCTGGCATATCATTTAAGTGGTACATTTTTAATTAGGGCATTTCCAACACTTTTAATGTAATTTCTATCATTAAACAAGAGAAAGTTTTATTGTTTTCACATTGCTGCTGGAGGTAAAGATATGCTCGTGGTCTAGCTGTCTTTCAAAGTGTCTGCAGACACTGAGGGAAAAGGGAAAGGAGGGGGGGAGAAGGGTGTTTTACAAAAGGAATGGACATTTCTGTAGAGGCAAAGGAGAAGTTGTCAGTAAATTAACTCTCCCTTTCCTTTCAGAGAATAATTTGAAGCGTTTTGATGTTGCTAAATGAAAAATAGAAGAAGGGATTCTTTTGATTCTAACACTCTGGACTAGGAAGGAAGAGAGGGAGAAAAGTTATGCTACCAAAAAAAAATCAACCAGCAGTTTTCTCTCTCTCCTAAGCCTGGAAAATATATATATATATTTGTGGGAAATCAACTTTAAAGTAATATCGTTTATAATCGGCTCACAATGGGGCCCAGCCTTCAAAGCCTCAAGAGAATTGTGACAGGATCTGGTAGGGATCTTTTCAAACACTTTGAAATGTTTTAAAACCCCAACTTTCTCCCCCATTTAAACAGTTGGATTCATCTCCAGTGGTCACCATATGGGCGTTTGGAGATCTATTGAGATGACCACCAACACTTGAATAGCGAGGGGGCTGCTTTTCACCAGGACACAATGCCCGCAGAGTAAGGGAAACTATTAAACTCTTGGGGCAAGGAGGAGGGTTGGCAAACTTTCGTGGGCAGAATTTTGAGGACACAATCAGGCAGGCCCAACAAAAGGATTCTCTTGAGGCGTGCAGCGGCCCACATTGTATCACAAGGATCCCAGTCAACAGACTTTTCAGTGAAGTATGTTAACCTTTAGGCACTACTATCATTAATCACTGTCCCCTGGGCTGGGCTACTCAATGCTATTTAGGATTTTTAAAAAACTTTCTATAGGAGCTGAGGAAGAAAGAAAGAACACCCCTAAACTGGTGAATAGGCCAGTTCCATACACTGAGCCTGTTTACTCAACACCAGGAAGGGGGAAAAGAGGTGGGGGTTAGAGGAGAGAACTACTTAGCTAAGATTAGAGAAGCTTCAACTAGCAGAGGAGAGTCCAGGACAAGGGCCCTGTTTTTATTTACTAGCTAGAGTTGGTGGCTGGCTTTTTAAGTTAAGGGCACTGCTAGGAGCCTCTTCCAGGAGTCCTCCGTGCTGGAGAAAGGCAGCCCACTCAGATCTTCAGCCCTAATTACTTTTGCCTTTTCTCACAAGGCTGATGGACTCTGAGCCCTACATTACACCTTGCACGCAGGTTGAGGTAGTTGAGGAGATACTTGAGCGCAACCCAGGCAAACACTGGTCGCCTTAGTCAATGATGCACGTGTGAAATTGACTGGGGCCCCAATCCTTTCCTGGATTTAAAGGAAGGGGCACTGTGGACCGTTCAAAACTGAAGCCAATGTGCTTATTTGTAATTAAAAGCACTTCGGAGGAGAGTGCTTGGGTTCACCGGGATTTGCATCGGGTACTTCAGCCCAAGATGAATTCCCTGCTCTGAAATGACTGCGCATTACGCGGGCGAGATCCAATGAGGAGGCGCATTTGCTGCGCGGACTTTAGCCGAGGGTCAAAAATGCCTACGTGGTCGGGGATAATTCCTTCCGTGCGATGCAACCTGAACTCATGGGATGAAATGGCCTGAAATCCAAACGCTGCAGCTTATAACCAGTTTTGGAATCAGGCTGTCCAATGCAAGAGAAGCGCTGAGCTCATTTTAACAGACAGCTCAGCGGCACTTAATTCGGAGCAGCCGTTCGCAGGATCGCGGTGCACCAGTTCCGCGGTCAAATCGCATTTCTGGCCACCTGGCTGAAAAGATGATTGAGTTTCAACCGTTTTGCCCCATTGATATCTTATATGAACGAAAGTTAAAATGAAATAAAGAAACTCCAACGGTTTGTGCTTAGCGCGTGTATATAACCAAACCAAATCTGCAAGCGACAACAAAGTCCCAGTGACCCAGAAGGAACAACCTTCGGTATAATCGGGACATTTTGGGTGGGTGGGAATTGGCTACTTTGTAGTTGTGGTCAAAGGGAGTGCTCCAAAAGCACGCAACACTTTCGGATCTTTCCAACTCCATTCCTTATTGCTGCGCCCTCCCTCGAAGGTGGTGCCAGCGCTGGGCAAAAGCCCAAATCTGCCCGTTTTCGGCGCGCCTTTGGAGGGTGCGTGCGGATGGGTCCGTGCGGGTGAGCAGGAAATTTTCGTCTGTTGCAGCTTGCGACTTGATCCCCCAGCCCAGCTGCTTGCCAGACCTCTCCGGGGAGGCGGTTTGGGATCCTAAGGGCCCGCGCGGAGTTATTTTTCAGCTCCTCCTTCACCGCTTAGCCAAGGCAGTTTTGGAGAAATGGCAGGAGCCGTTAAAATTAAAGGAACCAGATTCAATCCACGAAAAGCAGGGATAATTCTCTCCTTCTGCAAGGCGAAAATGGCCCCAAAGCAGGATTTGTTTTCTTTTTTCTTTTTTTCCAGGTTAAGGGGGGTTTAAAAACAAAAAAAGGAAGCAACCTCAACCCGCTCCTCATCCATTCTCCAGTCAACCTTCGCTTCTAATGACCCGCAAAGCCCCATGGATATCAATGGGAGGGTCCCCATTGACTTCAACAGAATGACGGTTGCACCCGAAATCAAGAGCTCTTCGTTTTCTTTAAGGAGCACTTATGACAACTTTTTCGCTTGTCTTCATTCTGCTGTTTTAAGGCCCTTTTCTCCCCCCGCCCCTCAAAACGGTGTCGGTTTAAACTATTTTAAGTTTTGCTTTGGAAAGACAGATATATGTGTGCGTGTGTGTTTGTTTTTAAGGGGAAAGAAATGCCAGACAATTAAGATATCTTTCTTTCTTTTAAAATGAGACTTGGGGAAAAAAGAAGAAGCCTATAAAGGAATGAACTCAATAGCCCGTTCCACCTTCTAGACCTAATCCGTAAGAAAAAGCGAGTGAATATGCTGTCGCTATTATCCTATAGCTAGACCATCTGACGCTGGGTATAGGATTTGTTTTCCAGGAAAGGGGAAAAAACGGGGGGGGGGGATAAAAGACGCTGGGAAATAAAATCATTCCTTAGTTTCTTAGTGTCTTAATCAGTGAGGCGGAAAACTAGCAGAGAGGGGGAAAAGAAAGAAAGATAGCAAACCGATTGCGGCACCTTTCAGCTGTGGAGCTGGGATCAAAACATTGTAGCATCTGTTGAAAGAGAAAGTGTCTAAATCCTATAGAAGGCTTTAGTCTTATAAGGAGGGGCGAGAGGAGGCGGAGGGGGGGGGAGATAAGAAACAGTGTCTCAGTGATCCCTAAAACCGCTAAATCACTGGAGAATTTCTCCCGGATAGAGATGTCTCTTTTTGTTCTGTCAGCCCTCATGTATCCATTATTTTATTCACTGCTGCATGGCGTTTATCAGATTGAGACCATATTTGTCCCCCTCTGAGACCTAACCTTGCCTTATGCTTTTGGAGTAATGGACTCTTAAAATCCAGGAACACAGAGGCAGCCCGGCGAGGGGGGGGGGGCACCCGAGTCCCCCGCATGAATATTCCAGGGCAGAGGCATTTTATTAATTTTAATTTAGTGGTGCAAAGGCTTTAAGTGCGCGTCTCTCTCTCCTCTTCTCCCCCCCCCCCCGCCCCAGCGCCTCAGCCAAGGCCTCTACGCCCCCTCCCCCGCTTTCCTCGTCCACATTTTTTTGAGGTTGACTCAGGGCCAAGAATATAGTAGCAGGCCCCCATCCGCAAGCTTTATTCCCATTCATTTGTTTTAACTATATGGCAACTGGTGATTAATGGGGGTCTTTGAAACCCTGGCACCCAGATCCTATACACGTTGACTGGAAGAAGAAGAAGAAGAAGAAGAAGAAGAAGAAGAAGAAGAAGAAGAAGAAGAAGAAGAAGAAGACCAGTGGGCCTTACTTCCACGTAAATGTGCTTTAGGGAGAGCAGCTGAATACACTCTGGGGAAAACGATCCAGCCACAGTTAAGCACTTTTAAGATTGTAGTCCCATGGGCGTTTAATGGGGAGCTGGACTCATTGTCCAAAACGGGGCTTTTCTTCTGAGTAAACCTCTTACCAGCAGATCTCAGTGGTGTAAATGGGATGGATTGATCCGCGCGCTCCCATTAAAACCGGTGGGATTTACAAGGGCTGAATCCTGCCCCTCGTCTCCCTCCACGGGCCCTAGCCAAATACTGCCTGAAATCCAGCACAAAAACCGAAAACAAAATTCTGAGATCCAGCGCTCCTGCCTAGGGAATTTAGAGAGCAAACCCACGCCCTGTCCCGCACCGGTTAATCTTTAACCCCAAGGATCTCCTCAGTTTTTGTGCGGGGGAAGGTGTGTGCTTCGGTTTAAAATTTAAATTTTAAAGGATGAGGATGGGGGCTGCTGTTTCAGGAAACTACAGAGGAATAAGACATCGCTTCTTTTCCGAAAGGGCTTCATGCCCGATTCCCAATGATTTCTGCGACAGATCTTACTTCCTTTCAATACAACAACAACAACAACATCATCATCTGGGAAGGGAGAGAATTCCAATTTTAAAATAACTAAATACGCGCATGGCGATGAAATGTACCCTCGGTTCAGATATTACAGCAACGGACTTCAAGCAACCTGTTATCTCACTGCAAACACGCACGCACCAACCGGGGTGGGTGAGTGTGGAGGAAGAAATATTGAGCCCAACAAATTGAGGGTGAGATATCAAAACTGGACCTTCCGACACCCAGAGAGAGAGTTTCTTGACTCCCCCTCCCGCCCCCGTTTACCCTTGGAGGGGCTGCATATGTTCCTACACTCTGGTTTATGACAATGTTCCGCTTTGGTATAATATCCGATATAACATTCAAATAAAGCCAAATTTCCCAGCTTCTTGTGAGCAGGCTCTCTTCTTCCCTCTCTGATGAGATCTGAAGTATCTGGAATCCTATTAATTGCCAATGATCTCTCTCATTGTCTCTCTTTCTCTCACATACTTCCACAATCTGTAGGCTATACGTATGATCTATTTAAATAATCCTCTTATTTGGGGTTGCGACTTGTAGGTTGCGAGTCAGGGCGAGCTAATCTGCGCCAATGTGCTCATCCTGATCCCGACAGCAAGTCCCATCCATCTTAGAAGGGTTAAGGTTGCTATTCTAGAACATAGGAAGTCAGAGAAGCCAGTGTTAGGTTGCTTTAGCGGGGTTGACTAAAGGTTGGGATGCAAGTTCCATTGGAGCCATTCTTAGCATCGGGCTGTTTAGGGCCCTAGCCTGAGGGCCGGATCCTTACATCAGCAATCTTAAAACCGTATCCGCAGAAATCCTGTGGATTGCAGTTCAACGTGTTTCCCAGCTAGAATACGGAGTTTTGCAGCTAGCTAGACCCTGACTTGGGACTTTGTAAATCATTTTGGATCTTCTTCCGGGCAAATGCGCTCAGGATCGTGGCACTGTCAGCCTGAGCTTAGACGTCGTGGGGTTTAACTGCAGAGTTAACACACAACCAGGAAAATTCCCCATGCAAGACCCTCGACGAGCCTGGGGCTGCCCTGCCTCTCTTCCTTATTAATTTCAATCCAAGGTGGATCGTGCCCGAGACCGTGGACCGCCATAGCAAAAAAAGGAGCTGGGATGCCAGTGTTGAGAATCTCCTAGCTTTAAGAGTCCGAGTTATACACACAAAGAAAAAAGAAAGGCGGATTTAGCCTTTCTGATATTCAGGACTGATTTGAATCGGTTGGAATCCGAATTCTTCCATTGCCCTGCAGGAACTGTGAGTGAATCTTTGCGCCTGGGACCATCTAAGTTATATATAACGCGGCCTATAGAGGCATGCAGCTTACAGTTCAGGTAAGGGGAAGGCGATTCCTTCATATCGCTGTTACTCAGATCAGCTGAACAGCTGGCTTTAGGCGCCGTTCAACAACCACCCCCTGCCTACCCTCTGTCCGCATCCCTAAGCGAAGCTCAGGCGCAGCTTCCTCGCTCTTCTCTCTTCCTCGCTCTGCTTCACGTGTCCCTCTCCTTATTCCAGAACTTGGCAGCTCTAAGGAATTGGAAAGACCTGGGTGCTGCTTTAGAGTCCCAGAGGCCGATGTCCAGTTCTGGAATAAGTCACTAAAAGTCCGGTGGCACTTTGAAAGACTAATATGTCTAATGGCCTCCGTGACTCAGAACAAGTCCCAGGGCAACTGATGCCACCACAAACAGCTTTGAAGGTACCACAAGGCTCTTCTTGACCGTGGGCTTGTTTTTCGCTCCTTACACCACATGGGCGCCACTCTCCCTTTGGAAGATGTCGGCAATATGTGGTCTTAAAGACCTGGGTGCCGGATCAGGTCTCCCTAACCCTTCCATCCCTCCGAGGGGCGCACCTACCCAGCCACTCAGAGCACCATTCTGAAAAAGGATGGTTCATTGAAATCAGTGGAACTCAATTCCAACTAAGTGTGGTTAGTTAGGGCTGAAGTGTCAAAGGTGCTAACCGGCGGGTGGGGGTGGGGTGGGGGTCTCAGTGAGCAGGCTGGCTCCCCGTCATCCTCCAGCCCCACGGCATTCTTCCTCCCCAATGGGAGATCTGAGAGTTGGGGCGGTAATAGGATGCCCCGAAGCTCTTGTCTTTCCAGGGTCCCTCCTAGACTGCTCCCTTCTCTTAAAACTGACATGTCTAATTGGCAAGCGGAGCCATATCGTGTCCAGAGGTCTCCTGTGGAACATTTCTACAGCTGTCTCCTTCAACTAGACGCTTATTCATGTCGCCTTAATGAGAAACAAAACGATCTCTAATGAGCAATTACATAGCGACAGAATTGTTCCCATAACAAATTCTTGCGTGTGACAGAAACATCCTTTGTACCAGATATTCCGCATATTGTTACTGATTTCTTTCTTTTCTCTCTCTCTCTTTCTCTCGTATCTTAACCTCCTTTTCGGGATGGAAAGAAAAAAATCAGGTTGTTGGGGAGACACCTCTCCCGAGAGACTGACCAGAGCCAGAGAAAGGTCTCGTGGCCCACCGAGAGGCCGCCTTGGCAAACAAAAACAAACCCGTCGCGATTATTACAGCATCTCCAGGAGCGAAGGAGCGCAACCCGCCCCGGAGCCTCCGCATTAACCTCTCGCCATTCCCTACAACAAACACCTATTAATCTTCCGCGTAAACAGGGACCCACATTGGCCAAGTGGGAGCACGTCTAGCTGAGGAGCGAAGGCGCCCCTGGATCGGGAGCAGGCGGGCCACCGAAAACCTATCCAGAACCAGCTCCACTCTGGAGCGTGACCTTTTCAGTGACTGCACGCACGCAACCTGGAGGAAAATCCAGCCGACCCACTTCTCTGCTTTTCCCGCAAAGGCTATTACGTTTGTCCTACCTTCCTAATTCCCTCTACTACCCTTGCAAGCAAAGACAAGACACGCCGAGGTGGAAACCAACCAGCTAGCCAGAAGCCAGAAGCTTCTCTTGCTTCCTCGTCCATCTTTCTAGGTGTTTCCTCCACAGAGTCACAAAATTTGTCAATTACCCTGAAAGCGCAATCGGATACAAGGGTGTTTTCCTCCCAATCCGTCAGCGCTTGAGCGTCTCAGACTCTAAGGAGAGGGGTGGCGTAGTTGTTGGTCTGGTGTGCAAACCAAAGCCCACTTTTAATCATGTGCGCGTGTGCTTATAGGGCGTTTATGGATCCAATGTGTGTCCAAAGGAAAGGGTAGGGTTGGGGGCTGCCAAAAAGATCCGGTTTAAAATAAAGCTGCTGCCTTTCAAACGCCTCTCCGACCTGTTGCCCTCCTGAGCATTCACGCGACACCCAGCCACCCAATCCCACCCCACCGCTGACCATCTCGAGATAAAGTAGGAGGAGGAGGAGATTGCCGCGGAGGTGGAGCCACGAGGCAGACCAGCGTGTCGAGCTTTACCACTTTGGACTTTGATGGGTCATTAGAAAAATCGGATTGATCAGGGTGGGGTGGGGGGAGGGAGAGGAGGGAGAAGAGGAGGAGGAGGAGGCTTGCTCTTTCTCTCTCTTCTGCTTACCTTGCGTTGGCTGTCCTGGCACGGAGGTCCCCGGGTACCACCCCGGCCTCGTGCCCCACGTCCCGGTCTGCCCGTTCAGCATCCTTAGCTTGTCATACATTCCATCTGCCCCCATCTGTTGCTTTTCGCTAGCCAGGTTGCGGAGGACTCTGTTGATCGAAGATACCTGAAAAGGAAGCGACATTCAACGCGATGGTAGCAAGGAGAGGAGCCGCTTTGGAAACAAAGCGGCGACAACAGCAGGAGCAACCCCCCCTCCCCCACCCGCTGACCACAGTTCTCTAGAACCACTGGGACGTTGCTGTCAGTCCCAGAGGACGTGTGTGTGTGTGGATTGTGTGTGCGTAAGAGGACTTTAAAAAAAGAAAACCCACCCCCCAAATTTATTTACAAAGAAACCATTCCCACCGATTTCAATGGGAGTCGCTTCCAAACAGGCCACCGATCGAAACCATCGCGACCCTTTTGCTCCAGCGCAGCCCCGCTGACTGCAGCAGGACTACTCTGTAGCAAATGGGCTGTGAGAATGGCAGCCGGCTCGCGTGTTCAGCAGGGCAAGCGAGGCGGGAGATGAGAGGGCTGCGGTCGCCCTTGAAAGCCAGGACGTGTCCCCTGCAATACGCGGGGTTCTCTCGCCAGCCAACGCGTTTAGAGCAGCAGTCGTCTGAAAACTATTTAGGGACTTAAGCAGGTTGTGCTCAGCAGAGTTCCTTCGTCGGGAGAACTGCACCTTATGGAAAACGCACAACCCGGGCAGAAATGCCCTGTGTTTTTCAACCTAGAAATAAATCCTCCCCCCCCCCTGCATTGCTTTGCACATTCATAATTCGCTCGAGGAGAGTTCCCAGTTGGTCCCACCACCCTGGGGCGGGGTATTTAGCCTCCCAAAGCCACCTTGGTTTTCGGAGCCCTGTTAGCTCAAAAGCCAAGGATGAGTCCTGAGCATTTTTTAAGGGCACCCATAAGTTATTTGTGCCAAATGTTGCCCTTACCCAAGGGCGGGGGAGGGAGAAATTGCGGGGGGAGGGGCTCCTTCGTGCTAGAAGATCAAAGAGAAGGGGGAGTTAGCGACAGGTCTCCTGCTATTGTTCTAGGTCAGAGAGAGAGAAAGGATTTATTGATGAACTTACGCTGGGTATATTATCGTTGGTACAGACCCCCTCCGATAGTAATCTGTCTCGGATCTCCCAAGCAAAGATGGAGGGGCACTCCCGTTTATACTGTGCTATTTTGCTTACAACTTCTGGAGTCGCTACTCTCGGTTTGCTACCTCCGATTGCCCGCGGTCGGATGGAGCCAGTTTCGTAATACCTCCCCAGAATTTTACTCACACAGCCATTCGACACCTGCATCAGGGAAGCGGACAGAAAATCACATTATTAATAATTTCAAGACAAAAATAAAATTGTTTAAGTATGCATTAAACAATGACAAGCTTACGTTTTGATTGTCCAGCACTTGGACTTTTGCATCTGCATGGGTCTATAACACAAAAATATACCTTAAATGGTATGAGAACTTACTTAGAGAGGTTTTTCTTTTCTTTTTCTTTCTTTTTCTTTTAAAAAATATTACATTTGTGGCCCTACACGCTACAAAGGTGAGATTTTTTAATTTTTTTATTTAAAACCCACTTTGAAGGGGGGAGGGGAATAAAAACTGGAGAAAAATGTCAGATATTGGAATAAATGTTAATATAGACATCATCAGCTCAGTTTCCAAAATACTCAGATTTCGGGAAGAGGGAAGGATTGGGAAGGTGTGGGTGGATTATAATACGGGAATGATACTGTATCCCTAAGCCAAATCCCCGGCCAAATCGTTTTCTCATGAGCTTCTAGGGAATAAACAGGCAGCAATTTCAAAAGAAACCAGCGTTGCTTATTGCTTATTCACATATACATATATATAGATATACATACATACATACATAAATTTGCATGCAGAAACTTTCAGTTACATGGAGGGGGAAGCGGACAGTTTAACACCCCCCTGACCTGCACACGCTTGCTTGGAAAGAAGTCCCTTAACCAATCGGTGGGCTCTGCCTTCCAAAGAAGCGTCCTTAGGATCGGGCGCATTGCATCGGTCAGGTCACTCCAGCCAACTAATATTCGCCAATAGAATACAGGCGTACATATGGAAATAAGGCATATCAGGTTGTCAAGCAGCCATTGACTTAAGGAAAAAATAGATAGCTCTATCCCCGTGGCTTTGAGAAGCAGATTGATGGCGATTTAATTTTTTTAAGAATCCTTCTCTCTGCCCCTCCCCCCGACCCAAATAGGCTGGAGAGGGAAGGTTGCAGCTACAGAATAATACCCTTCCCTCACCCACTCACCCACCCACCCACCCACCCCCAGGATAGGCTGTGTCCGGTTTTTTGTTTTGTTTTGCTTTGGTTTGTTCCTTCCTTCCCCAAGCCAGGCTGGCGTAGGGTTGCTGGAGCTGGGAAGGCGAGGCGCATTTTCACCTGCAGGATTCGGGAGATGTCACACGGCCGAGCCCCGCTGTGGGCGAGTTCCACGATTTTCTGTCGGGTTGAATCTGGCAGCGGCCGACCGTTGACAAACACGCCGCCGAGCTGGTTGACGCCGCTGTGACCTGCGTGGTGGGGGGAGGAAAACAAGGACAATGGAAGCCTCGGCTACCTGAGCTGGAGAAGGACGACCTGGGGCGCCCCAGCTCCCTCCTCCCCGGTCAGGTTGCTGCTGCTGCTGAGACAGAGAGTGGGGGGGGGGGAGAGGGGAAAGGAGTCGGGATGGGGGGGGTCGGTGGGGAACAGCGAGATCAACAACCAAACAACCCAAATCAGGCGCTTTTCTGGTTCTGCTTTGGAGTTGGCAAAGAGAAAAGCCCCACTTAGCGCGGGCGCAGGCGAGCCAGACCTATGGCTGTGGATCTCAGGTATGAAGACTGTAAACACACACACAAAAGATGCACACACCTCCCTAGGCAAAATCACTGCAGCCAAGTCGCCACCGTTACTCCAACAACCATCTATTTTACCAGTTGCAAAGCACGTTCTATACAGGAAAGTCATTCATTCATAGATAGATAGATAGATAGATAGATAGATAGATGTAGATATACATATGATCATCAAAGGAAAATTCCACCACCACAAAGACTTTCTCCCCTTTGAACTGGTCTCCTTCCCTTCCTCCCCCCCCCATCCTCCGCCATCCCCCCTTCTAAGCTCGACGCTGACTCCTCTCTAAGGCTCCATTCACGGTCCCAGCTCTGCCTCTCAAGCCCAGAAGAGCAACATTTGGTTACACACTTTCACTCAGAGACATCCTTTCAGCAGCCTTGGCACCAGCCGGCGAGTGAAGGGCACACAGCCGACTGTGGGGGAAAGGGGGTGGCTGGGGGTGGGGTGAAGGAAAAACCGTCCCCTCTCTCTTCCATGGGGCGGCGGGAGGTGGAAGATGCCTTTCGAGACCCAGCAGCGCGTGGACCCAACGCAGCCTGGAGCCCATCCACAGAAAGTCCACCTCGCCCGCCCGCCCCACCACAAAAAGCACAAAACCTGCCTGGATCAGAAACTGGCTAAGCCAAAAACAGGCGCCTCCTGCCCTCCATCTCTCTTAGCCCCCTAAATGCCACCAAGATCCCCACACCCCAAATTCCTCGTCTGGAAAAGAAGGCGAGGGAAAAGGGAATTGTTGCTATTATTTTAAAAGGAAAATAAATCGGAGTGGTCTGTTCTGAGCTTTGCGACAGTCCCTAAGCATCCTCCTAGCTACAGCTCACTTGGCCAAAAGCAACGCGAATGGATTTCTTTAAAAAAAAAAAATGGTTCGAAAATAATTCCCCAACCTGCAGCTTGAGGCTTTGGAGGCAAAAGGCTCCCTGGAGAAGGTCTGGGCTCGCTCTCTCTCTCCCTCTCTGTGTGTCTCTCTCTGTTCTGCTCTCCTCCTCTCTTTGGAGCCTCCTGCTAAATTGACTCCAGGAGCCTCGGCTTCTTAGCAATAAATAAGCTCCAAATATAGAAGAGGGGGAAAATATGATGAGTCTCTCTGACATTTGTCTTTAAAATAAAACTAGCTGCACGTCAAGTTTGAGCTTAATTTCTGGAAATAGGCGGAAGTCGCCCCGGATCATGCATGGAAGGCTAATTGAAAAGATCAGTTGGAGCACTTGTGGCAGACGTGTCACTTTATGACAGTGCTCCGCTTTTGAAAATTGCATCGTCACGACAAACAGGAGCATGATAAAAACGACCCTTTCTGTCCGGATTTGGGTATCACTCCGACGAGATTGAACTCTACTCGTTTCCCCTTCGAGGGGAAGCGACTTTTTAAGGTAGCCACGGGGCCAGTGCGGACACAACCGAGGGGGCGCGCTGCCTCCTCGATAGATCCGAAGTGACATGCGGTTTGGAGAGCGATGGAGGGAAGGGAGGGTGAAGGAGGAGGGGAGGGGTGCGGGGGGAAAGAGAGAGAGAGGCAGGAGCGTAAAAGCCACTAGAGAACCGACCAACGTGTGCGGTTTAAGAAATATAGGGGGGGGGCACAAGGCACAGAGCCTCTTTTTCTCTCTCTGCCTCTCGGATGGACCTGCTCATCTCTCTCCCCACCCCCCAACTATGTGAAGAAGGGGAGGGAGCTTCCATCCCCGGGTCGGGGAGGTGGGGCGTCAAATGCCCCCCTTTTAATCCTCCCAATCACCACTCCTAGGTTAGGTGGTTCTGGACACATTCCCCTTCCCCACCCCACCCAACTCCCTGTTTCTTCCCCTTACCTTCACCCTCCCTCTCCATTGCCCTGGATTGTTGTGGAATCTGGGTTGCTCTCCTCTCCAGTCTCTCAGGGACCCGATCCAGCCTCGGCAAGCCCTTATCAGAGACCCATTGTTTCTCAGAGGGGTGGTGGGGCGGGGGGGTGTTTCAGAGAGATGAGCACGTGCTTCATTCTCTCTCACGGAAACCAATGGGACTCCCAATCCCGTGGCTGTGATGTTTCCTTGGGGCCTGGGGATCCACGGAGCAAGATCTCCCTCTCCCTCTTTCACTCCCACACACGCATGGGGCTGTGGACAAGAGGCCCTTTGCCCGCAGCCCCGCCAGAAATGTATCTCTGCGCGCGGCCCAACGAGGAATGCCAAACTCCCAAGTTGCGCGTAAAAAGGTTAAGCCTTAATCAATGCCTTAATTTCCCTGGAGAGGGGAGGCAGCTCGAGCCCAGTGGCAACGATTAAGCGCCTCGCCTTTCTGGGGCTAGGCTTGTAATAGGAAAGCATATGGTGTCAATTTGGAGCCCCGGCACCACATACACCCAGGAGTTGTTCGCACAAAGCCTGCAGAGCCGGCGGCGACCTTTGCGCAAAACCCGGGCTTCACCCGGACGGGATCTCCTCGCTTCACTCCTGCACAGGCTGAAGGGGAGGGGGAGGAAAAAGCGAGCGCCAAGGGCCGGCATCGAGGCATCTTCTGGCCCTCCGAGGAACACTTTGGGATGAGCTGTGCCTCAAGGCCAAGGGCCCAGGCTAGGAGAGAGGAGGGCTCGGCCTCCATGCCTTTCTCCCTGCTCCACCCTGACCGCGTCTCTTTCTGATCAGCGCCAAGGCTTAGGAAGCCGTCGGTTTAAGAGAGATCCCAGGCGAAGGAAGCAACAGAATAAATACAGGCCTTCCCGGCCGGAAAAGTTTATCATCACGCTGCCACTGTCCGCCACGGGGAATCGCCCGAAAGAATCCCCCCACACAGGGCAATTTAAAGGCGCACTCGAAACCCACAATCCGGTTTGTATGCTTAGAAATGCGTCCACCCCACGCCCTTCTCCCACAGTCCAGGAGCTGAGACCTTCCTGCAAGGACCCCCAAGCCCTTCTTTGGAGGAAATCGAGTGGGGCCTCGGAAAGCCGACGCCAGCAGCTCCACAGCGAACCGCCTTTGGCTAGGGTATCCCCGCCAAGGATTTCAACGCGACTGGCGGCCAAAGGGAGACGAAGAAGGGTCCCGCTTACTCGGAAGAAAGTCCTGCCAGAGTTCAATGGGGCCAACTCCCAAGTAAAGAGAGTGGCAGCTAAAGAAACCCTGATAATCCCAGATCCTGCGCGAAAGGCCAGAATAAATGCCCAGGCCGAGTCAACTAAACTCTGAAGTACCTTCGCTTTAGGAAGAAATACTTGGCCGGCTTTTGACTTCAAAGGCAGCATCTTTAAACATGACAGCAACTCGCTAACGAGCTCAACATTATCTCACGGAAGGGAATTTTCTGGGCAACCAGGCCCCGTTCCATCCATCCAAAGCTATGTACTTTTAAGTCTCCCTTGGCCCCAGCAGGAGAGATTTAAGCAGGTGCTGCAACTCTCTGGTGGACTCCTGAGAACTTAAAAGTGCATCCCTTCTGGATTATCCCTTAGCCCATCCGACCTCCCTACACCCAGGAAAGTCGACGGGACTTAATTTCCCAATCAAAGTCCGCGGGAAGGCGGCTGATCTGCTCGGCCAGCGCCCTAAATATATTTATTAGGAAGTGTCACAGATTTCCTTTCCACCAACACGCTGAAAATCAGCGGAGCTGCCGGTCCAGAGTGCGGGTCAAACTGCCGCAACCTTGCCAGACTTCGCTTGGAAATCCAGACAAGGCCCTCTGAGAAGGACTGCTTTGTTTGCGAGTTCTACGCAACTGACACCTTATCCCAGTGGGCTGATCCACTGTGGGTACCATCCGGCTCCCCCAAACACAAAGAGGGCTGGTGGTGTGGCGGGATTGCGCCCGGTCCCTTGGCTTCTAGAGGAATCTACGTCCAAATAAGGGCGCTTTGTGAGAAGCCGCTGTCATTGGGGATTCCCTCTCGGGAGCGGGGAGAGGATAGCAAGACAGGCCTATGTAGGGCGTCCCTCACACGCAGCCTGGCCAAACCAAGTCCTCTCGGAAGGCAATCCTACAGGAAGCAAAGGGTTTCCCTTCTATTATTTTGACATCCAAGCGCACAGCTTTATCAGGAAGCTGTTAAGCAGCTGCTGCCAAGCTGGTCTGGAAGACGATTGAAAGGGACAAAATCTCTCATCTTCCTGAGTTTTCATTAAGTCTGGTGGGTTCAGCTCCAGGTTTCGCTTCCCATCCCAACCCCCCGGCCCCAGACCACCACAAGTGACCAACATTTTCTCAGCCAAGGCCTTCAGTCTCGATCGCTTTGACATTCGCCCTTTTTTTTGCAAATCCCCACATTCCTCCAGCCAGAAGAACACACAACACGGTTAGTGACGTGGGAACTTATTGCACACTTGCAACTTGCTTGGCGGACGATTGATTGTGTGCAATCAAGGGAAGTTCTGGTTTATTTAATTTTATAAAAATCCGATCGAGGCAGTTAATTCCAGTTCGAGGTCTCCTTGGCTTCGAAACATGTTGGAACTGATTGCAATGAAACAACCACAGACAGACGCGACTGTCCTCTGAATCCGGGTTCGGTGACCCTCGCTTGCCCTGCCTCCTGGACGGCGCTGGAGTTTATTATGTCAACACATCCAAACTGTGAAGCTATTGGGGGGCTCTCCCAACCTTTCCGCTTTGCCAGCCTCTACAAATCTAACAGGATGGATCTATAAGCACCCATCGCCGCAATCCTAAACACACTTGCACAAATCAGATCGATTTTTAATGAGACTGGCTTCCAGAAAAGTTGCGCTTTCTCACGGGAGCATTAAATCGAGTTGCATTCTCGGCGGACTTTCCCGCGGCCACTCAGATTTATTTCAACTGCACCACAACAAACTGCCCCCTTATTGTCACCTCTCTCCTCCTGGGTTACAAATCTATTTAAATCCATCTACCTTTTTCGCCCCAAGAATTTTCAAATCTACACAAGCTTCCCTGCGCGAGTACTTTGCGCCAGACATTTAGGTCATCGAGACTCCATCACCGCGAGATTTTGTGAGGAGAGTCCAACCAACAGAAGACCAAAGAAAATGATCCCATCAGGTCTTCCCTTCCCATTCAGAGGACTTTCCTTACATCGACACCCTCCCCCCCCCCCAAAAAAAAATCCCCACTCACAAAGAGCTGATTTACTCCAGTGACTGCAGATCCGATCCATGAGCAGTGGGATTCTGGAGTGGTCAATTCCACACTCAATGGGTGGCCAATCGCTCCAGACGCGCCATCCACAAAGCAGCTCGCTCACGCCTCCATCTTCCCAAGCACAGTTACTTGGAAGTAAGTCCCATGGAAACGAGAAGGGCACTTACATCCCCTCCCCAAGTAAGGGTGCTTCGGCTCACGGCCTCGGAAATCTCCATTCGGGAAAAGGAGCGCGTCGCTGCACCGTCTCCTGTTGCAAGAACTACCAGCTGCATCTCTCTTAGGCGAAGGACTCAAATGGCAGCCACCAAGCGCCGGGTGTTATAACTCTCCTAAGCTTCACAACCCCCCTTTTCCAGAAGGAGCCACTTCTGCTATGATTAGTATTTTGAAAATGTGAAATTCTATACCTTCCCCCGCCTCTCTACCCCCACCCCACCCCCGCCCAGCACACACAAACACTACCCACCCCAATAATACATCGACATCCTCAAGCCGGCAGAGTCGTGAAATAAGAGGGAGAGTCACTTACTGTTCTGCATGGTGGATTGATGGAGCAAGATCCCACGTGGCTCGCGGATAAGATTCTATGAGTAATAAAACAGGCTTTAATCAGGGGAGGGAAGCTCGCGGGCAGGTAGTTGCGCTGCACTGAGTGCCCAGGTCTCCAAGGCCTCGTTGCTTTCTGCTGGCCTCCCAAATGATGTCAAATATTTTATATATATTTTTATATATCATGCGAAAACCCTCCCAGCCCCAGAGCCTATGTAACAACAAACCTGGAAACGTTTCAACCTAGCAAGTCTAGTTCTTTTTTAAAATAAATAAATAAACAGAAACCAGCCGTGGCCTTCTCCTCGGCAAACTGGCTGTGGCAAGTGAGGGCTCGTGATGCACCAAGGAAATTGGGTCGGAGTGCGAGAAGTTTTCTAGTGATGGGGGGGACGGGGACGGGGAAAGTAGAAGGTGCTTCCAACTTGCCTGATTTATGAGCGGACTCTCCTCTCTGGCAATTTAACGACTCACACATCTGCGTAGCGCTTGTTAAAGTCTTCCCGCTAGGATGAGGGGGGAAAGTATATTAAAAGTATATTAAGCACTTTTAAATTTGCGTTCCCTAACCTCCTCCCCGCCACCCACCCCAGTCATAGCCGCCTCGCATTTGGAGGTGGGGGTGGGAAGAGAAAGGCAATTCAAAAGATTCAGCAACACACACAGAGAGAGAGAGAAGGAGAGGGAGAGAAAATATGCCCAAGTTTTTTCCAGCACGCCTTACTGGAGCGCCTCCTGCCCATAGGAAAGAGTTCTGATCTGTGACACCTTTTGTGTCCGTATTTACAAACAGGACCTCGACTTTGGTTGGGCTTGGTTTGGCTGAAGGGAGCCGGCGCGACGTCCTCGCGCTGCACTTTGGGGCCAAAGGACCCTTTCTCTGAAAAGAGGTGGCCAGCAGAGTTTGTTGGCACTTTCTCTCCCTGGGTCCCCCTACCCCCGCTGCAACCTCTCCAGGTTGCTTAGGGGCAAATCCTGCTCTCTTGCATGGGGCGTGGGTGGATGTGCTGGGGCACTTCTTTCTCTTTTTAAACCACACATGTTTGGGAGCTACTTCACTCTGGTGATTCTTTTCGGGGCACTACTAACCATCCTGAAAAAACAAAACCCGAAGAGGGAGAGAGAAGTGGGGAGGTGGTGGTGGGGGAGAGAGAGAAATCCACTTATTGTGATTAACTTCTTTTTTGGTCTTTAGATCTTCCCCTTTTTCACTGTACTGTGACACACGCTGTCTACCTCGCCTCAGTGCTTTAAAAAGTAAGGCCAGGAGGGGGTGAGGGCTGGGAATACAAAGCCTCCAGAAGGCGAACAATGGCCTCCATTTTACTCCCCTACCCAAACGCCGAGCGCAAGACCCCAGCCAGGCAGCCTCCTCCGGAACGGGCCGCGGCGCAGCCTCCCAACTCCGCGTTCCCAACAACCCTCCAACTTACAAAGGAGCGGGTGGGAGGGGGGGCGCACAGCGGCCTTCCTCCTCCCTTCTGTAGGGCCCGCCTTGACCCACGCAGCCTGGCCAGCCCCAAGCCCTGCCTTGGGTTGTTTTTGTTTTTAAACCTGCCTTTTGAGGAATAAGACGAGGAATAATGCAACAACAAAAGAAGTTCTGCAGTTCTTGATGTTCTGTGTTGCATGTATTTATTTATTGGGTCCCAGCGCTTTCTTTTTAGGTTCCCAGCCTAGCAGGGGGAAAATAGAAAAGTAATTTCTCGTTATAAATATCTGGAGGTAATTATGTTACTGGTGTGAGTTGTTAGGGGTTGTAAAAAGATACAACAGCGCAGTGGGGTGCTCAATTGGGGTGAGACAATTACAATAAAGAACCTATTCAAGAGGTTTTGCTTTAAAAAAAAAGAGGGGGGAGAAGACAGAGAGAGAGAGAGAGAGGAGGTAAAATAATGAAATAGTGGCAGCCTTCATTTTATTCGCCCCCAAAACCTCCCCCCTTTATTTTTATTTTTTTGGGAAGCTTTAAAAAAATCTCTTCTCTTTCCAGGCTATAATGAATATTAATTTTATTCTTTCTACATAGAAAAAGAGGCATCTTCTTCCGGGTCCAAAACGACTCCGGTATGATTTTTTTAAAGTGCTTTTTTCCCCAAAGCCATCTACGTCCCATTAAAAGGGGGGAAAGAAAATCAACACGGAACAAGGACTCCTCTCGCAGCGTGAATGAGGCGCGCGGTGGTAAATATTTACTCCGCTTTGGAGAGGCACCTGATTAGCAGCCGAGCCTAGCGCCCTGGACCCTTCTCCGGAAAAAGCCGGTGCCTCCAGTCGCCCAGAGTTTCCAGAAGGCGCCCCTTTAACACACCGAACACGTCTGCCGGGACACACGCTTGCACGCAGGACAACCGTTCCAAGACAGAAAGACGCCGAAGCGTGAGAAGCAACGAGAGAGAGAGCCTTTTTCGCCCAGGCGCGGAGGACTGTTATTGTGAACACTTCCCAGTCTCTGCTATACCAACTGGCGAAATGCATTTTAAGGAACTCACTCTGGCACTTATTTGGGGTGTTAACAAACAAAGACGGCTAGCTGGTTTCAGGCACCAACAAATAAACCGAGGCGTTATTCTGATGAATCCGTGACAGCAAAATTGGGGTAGGGGGGAGTGAAGAGATAAAAGAGAGAGAGAGAAAGATTTGGGCTTTTGGGCTATTTTAATTAGAAGGTGGACTGAGCTCTACAACCACCAGCAAAACCGACCCTTCTTCCCTTCCCCCACCCGGAAGCGCAATAATGGTGGAGTTTCTCTCTTTGCCAGAAAGTAGCTCCTTTTTACTGAATTTTTAAAATGAAATTATTCACAAAGAGATGCAGGTAGGCAGAGAGCAGCCTCGATCAAATATCCCGGTGAGATTACAAACCCTACGCGAAACGCAACGTCTCCCTGGTCCCGGCTAGGCCTAATCTGCAAATTCCTATTTAAATCTCCAAATCTGGATCTAATCTGATCGTCTTTGAGATTTGATCCTCCCCTCCGCTGCAAACATAATTAGCTATTAAGATGACAAACGTTTACAATCCCGGGCCGTATAAGCAAAAGATAAACGCTAATCCATTGGCGTAGAGACGTTTGCTAAAGGTCACCGGCTATAAAAATTTATTGCCAAAGACCACAATTATTATTTTAGGCCTATAAAGACGCTCAGCCTCCAGCCATAATGAATGGCTTCACTTTCTGGAAGGAACTGCTCGGTGCTCTCGACTGGGCCTGAAAAGTTTATTTGTAAGCCTGGTCGCATCAGGAGTTTCTCCCCTCGTATTTTAAACCCCTGATTTGAAGACGCCAGTGGTTTATTATTCCCTCCCCCTAGTTAGATTAGTTTAAATAGAGTTAAAGAAAACAGACAGAAGTTTATTCTTGCACTCCTGAAGCAATCACTTGTGCAGCCCTTGCCTATGCAAGTTCACTCAGAAATGCTTTTTGTTTCAGTGACGTTTATTCTCACATTAAAGTGTGCGTAAAATCTCAGCCTCAATGTATGGCGGTAGAGGTGGAAACTCTGAAGAAGCGAGGAGGTGGGGAGTGAACTTTTTTGGGGGTTGCCCTGCATTTTACGTGAGTCTGGGCGAAACTTCAAAACATCCACCCAACAAGGAAATGAGATTTCGAAAATCCAAAACCAAACCAAAACAACAGCAACAAAAAACCCATTTGCTACTTGAAAAGGAAGCAGACAACATTCTCTAGCCTAGAAACTTGTGGAGAATGGGGTGGGGGGGGAGCTATTGATCGCAGATTCTTTGGAGCGCAAAACTCAGGAGACTTAAACGATCTCGGAGATTTGAGTGAAGTGCTGGGGGGGGGGGGTGGCAAAGAGCGCAGAGAGAGAAATGTTGTTTTTTTGTGGCTGTTTTTGTTTAAACAGTTTGTACTTCGAGCCAGGTAGTGATCAAGTTAGAAAGTTCTGCTCATTCCCAGTCTCGTCGTGGACAAGTTTGGGGAGATCTCGAGGCTGCTTGATTGAGAGTGACAGTCCTTCAGCTCCGCTCAGACCTTCCCGGATACAACTACTGAGACCTGACTTGGCCTAGAATGTGACTCTGTGTGTCGTCGTGTCCCCCCCTCCCGCCGGCCCGCGTGCCTCTCTCTTCCCCATTTCCTTAAGGCCGGTTAGATTGAGGGGGAAAAGAGATATATAGACATAAATAAAGGGAGAAGCGAGAGTTGCCTAAACGAAAGTCCCTCATCAACACACACGCATACGCACGCACAGCTTCAGCTTGACGGAGATACAAAGCAACCAAGGAAAAGAAGCGGGGAATAAAGACACTGAGCTTGGATGGACCCAGCTTCCCAAGAATGCAAGGGGACAAGCAACGCCGTGTGGTCCATAACGCCTCCTTCACAACAACCGCAACAACAAATGCCCCTCATAGGAACCAGGTGTGATGCATTCTCGTGTGTGCGCGCGCGCTCAGATGATCCCTACAGCTTTGGCCGTCCCTATCGCACTGTGCCAAACGGAGCAAGCCTTTCGTGGGGCTCTGTCTAGCAGAAAGGCCGGGCGAGTCTGCTGCTGTTGCTATCCAAAGAGAGAAAGAGAGAGATAGATGCTTTCTCAGGAAACAGGGGCGGGGGTCGGTCCGTGAAGGAGGAAGAGGAGGAAAAAGAAGAGGAGGAGAAAGAAGGCTGGAGCGAAAAGGACAAAGTTTGGAAGCCTTTGAGACTGGCATCTCGCCTAAGATCCTTTCCCGGAATGTAAGAAATGGTGTGTATGTGAGCGAAACAGGGGGGGGGGGCGGAGAGAGAAAGGGGGGGAGAGGGAGAGACCTGTCTAAATATTAAAATGAACTGAAGCGAGGAGAAGAAACGAGCAGACTCACCTTTCTGAGGCATCCTGTCTTGTTGTCAAAGCTCCTGTCAATAGTTTTAAAAAGCGCCCCTGATTTGAAATGATGGTGCCTTAAAAAGGGTTGCCAGTAAAAGAGTTTTTCTCCACTGAAGCTGCTGGTTGTGTGATCTTGAGTTCCTGGGAAGGAGACAGAGATTGACAATAAAATGGGCTGTCACTGACTGGAGAGGGAGAAAGAAAGAGGATGTGAGCGAAGTAGGGGGGAGAGAGGGAGGGAAAGAGGGAGAGACAGAGCACACCTATGCTGATTGGTGATGGTTCAAGTGTATTAATGTATGTGTGCGCCTGGTCTCTGCCTCGCCTCCCCTGCTCCCCACTGGCCCATTAGCAAAGCCTGACCTCTGTCATCATCTTCCAGCAAAACACTTCCTCCCTGCGCCTGAACCAGAGCGGGAAATGAGGCTGAGCCAGGGCTCGCTTTTCAAACCCACTAATCACTCCACGCATGCAAATGCTCCGCTCGCTCCCACACAAAATATTGCTTTATGCAAAGCAACGCCATTGCCTCCTAGCTGCCGATTGGACGCTCAACCGCACTGCCTGGTTCAATTGGCCCATTTGTTTGAATATGAATGCACTGGCTTCTCTCTCTCTCTCTCTCTCTCTCTCCCCTGCTCCCCCCCCCAGCTCCCCGCTCCTCCTCGCTTAGATTCCACCGACCTCTCTCTCCCCCCTACACCCCCCCCCCCATCTCCAGCCCTCTTTGCCCTGAGTTCCTCTTCCACCATCCCTGGGCTCAAATGCGAGGCTCCAGGACGCGCGGTGAGCGGACAGGCACCCTCCGCTAAGGTTTCGTGTTTTTTTGGGGGGTGGGGTGGGACGTTTTCCTGGTTAGGGTTCAGTCATGTCTCCCGGCTGAACTTTTTAATTTTTTGCCTCTTTGCCTCCTTCCCCACCTCAGAGATCCCCTCTGTTCGCCCCATTTCCTTCGAGATAGGGCCTGGAGTAAATAAATAACGTCGCTCGGAAAAATAAAAACGAGGACTGCCCTTTTCTTTCCAAGGCGATCTAGGTTTGTGCGGGCGGGTGGGTGTGTGTGTGTTTGAGGGGTGGGATGGGGGAGACAGAAAGGGAGGGGGCGAACTATTTGCATTTAAACAGTTCGCTCCCAGCAGACAATGGAGATAAGGAAAAAATAACATTCAAATGGTAACGACATAAATATTTGGGAGACAGGCGCTTTGTCAACTGGGAATCGCCTGGAGGTAGCCAAGTCCACAGTTGGGTGTGTGGGTATTTTCCCCCTCCCCTCCCCCCTCCTTTCCTCCCCCCCCCCTTTCCTCTCTCTCCTCGAGATGTGATGGAGAAAGGAAACTCTCTCTCTCTCTCTCCCCGCTGCCTGGAAAGTGCAGAGCAAATACACACTTTACTTTGTGTATTGAGGACTTTCGTGAAGGGGCCTGAAGAGTCCTTTCCCAAACACCCAAACTTCTTCCACGTGCCGTTTGTTGACTAAGTGCTGTTGTGTTTCTCTCCCCCCCCCCCACCTCTCTCTAGCAGACACTCCAAGGAGGGGGAGAAAGAGAGGAGGGAGGAGTGCTAAAATATCTCCACCGCAAGGGTCGGCGTGTGTGTGTGTGTGTGTGTGTGTGTGTGTGTGTGTGTGTGTGTGTGTTGGAGAGGGGGTTTTGCTTGTTGCTCTCACCAGATTTAGCTCACTCATGTGCGCAGGGCGATTCTCTCTCTTTCCCTCCCTCCCTCCTTCCCTCTCTTTCTCTCCTGCCAGGGAAATCAGGGGCCGAAGGAAAGCAAATGACTTTGCTTCTCTGACCACACACCACCACAAGTTCATTTGTTGAATGGCGGAGTATTAAGACACACCTCAGTACACTCCAAAGCAACCCCTCCGCGCCTGCATTTAAGGTGACACTGGCAGCACCAGTTTGAGCTCGGGGTGTTCCGATCGTTTATGGCGAGTGGTCTGGGAGGCGGGGAGTGGGGAGGGGTGGGGGAGATGAACTTCTGCACAAAGAGGGAAGGGGAAAGGAGGAGAGAGGGAGGGAGGGGGCAGGGAGGCGACGGGAGGGGGGGGAGGAGGAGGAAAGAAGGCAAAAAGCCCCAGAAATTCCAAGAGGCAAAAAAAGTGGGGAAGGGTTTCAGGTGGGGGTGGGTGGTACACGAACGCGCCAAGCATAAAATGAAGTCGTAGCCCCGCATACACTTGACTTCTCTTGACATGTGAAAAGTGCTAAAAGTCAGAGCTCATCAATAAAGTGGCTGGCGATTGAATGAGGGCCCTGACAACCATTGCATTCTTCAATAAAGTACAATGAGGAGACAAACGACTCTGCCAAGGAGTTTGCATGGGAGTGAAAGGACGCCTCAATAGGAGCTGGATAATGGGCTGCCAGGCCGTCATGCACTGTCATCTCCAGCCCTGCAGAGAAGCTACCGCGGCCCCTAATAGCACAAAATGGGCTCTTAAGAGACTACCGGGCGATTCCTCTCTGGGATGTGTGTGGATCTCTCTCTCTCTCTGTGTCCCCCTCCCTCTCTCCCTCCTTCTTCATCTTCTTCCAAACTCCTTCTTTCCTTCCTTCTTGTGCCAATTTGCCTTGATGCTGATTACCACTAATGTGTGGGGCTGCGCTTTTATGGGTCTTGCTTTCTATTTATTTTAATTTTTTTAGGGGAAAGAGAGGAGGCTGCAGCAAAGAAAGGCTGGGATTTAAAATCAGGACTTTCTCCTCGGTCCCCTCTTTTTTTTCAGGCCTCCGCTTCCAAAGTTTTTGGTGTCTTTTTTGCAGCAAATGGGAAAAGAGTCACAGAGAATTGCCCAGCCTAGCTGGGAGGGTTGAGACATTCTTCTGCAAACGCCACTCAGGGAGACCTCTCTCTCTCTCTCTCTCTCTCTCTCTCTCTCTCTCTCCACCCCCCCTCTCCCTTTCTTCTTTCCTTTGCTGATCCAGATTTTCCCCCACCCGGGCATTGCCCCCCTCCCATTTTTGATTTGTTTCTCTATCCCACATTGCAGCCCGCATCGATAACCCAGGCCACTTCAGTTTGCTGAAGGAAAGAGATCCGGTGGGTTGGACAAATCTTTTACCTCCAGCTACAATAGTTCAGGCCTAAGGCGAGCTGCAGCCCCCTCCACGCTGGCTGGAAATATCCTTTTTATTTCAATGTAATCGGAGCCGAATAACTATGATGGAAAGCTGGGGTGAAAAAACCAACCACACGGGGACATTCTAATAGGATTCCCCTTAAAAGGTAGGTAGGAAACTTGAGAATTCTCATAGCTGGGATGCTGCTACAGATAGAGGTGTAGGGCTGTGTGTGTGTGTGTGTGTGTGTGTGTGTGTGTGTGTGTAGTGTTTGGACGATTTTAGTTCTGTGTTTAAATTTATTATCCTTTCGTTTTGCCCTACTGTTATTTTTGAAGTGTCTCCCATACATTGGAACCCTACTAATTTCTGCAAAGTCCCCGCGATCAATGGCTAAATCTTACACGGCAGTCCTGCTCCATTCAACTCCATGGGAACTTTGCTGTTGACTTCAGCGGGCGCGGGCTTTTTCAAAGTGCGCCAAAGGAGATCTTTGCAGAGAGATCAAAATGGGAAGAAAACATAGATTACCAAGCCAATGTCTCGCTTGCCTCGCGGGTTTCACCGCATAGAGTTGCCGCTGCGGGATAGTTTAGCAAAGTGTCTTGAAAAGACCCCGCTCCTTCAACCTAGTCCTCTGCAAAGCTTTTTCTTTTCTTTTCTTCCTGTTGTCTGAAAAATCTCTCCCTCTTAAAAAAAAAAAATCGCAAAGAGAATAAGAATAATAACAAAAATAATCCCCGAGATCCTGGGGATTTTTGTTTTGTTTAATGTGACTTCTAGTCTTCTGGAAATCAGACGAATCCTTTCTCTTTTTTTGTCCAACAAACATTTTTTTAATACTTTCCTCATGTGGAAAGGCAAAAAAGGGCAAAACAACAGGGTAGAAAGTGGGGGAAATAAAAAGAACTCATGACGCTTGTTTTTAGGGGGGACGGACACGTCCAGATCTTCAGGCAAATTTCATTTTTACAACCATTCAATTAGCCTTCGTTTGGATTAGCAGCTCCTTATATGCTGCTCCTTCAGAATAAAGAAGCCGTAATCTTGTTGCTATTTCCCCCAGGGCACAGTGGGCCTTGCGCCCCTTCCCTCTCCACCCCCTCCCGCTAGTTTTGTTTTGTTTGTTTTTTAACTGGGGGGGGAGGAAATAATAAGGGGAGGGAAACGGTGAATAATCTGACGTCATTGCAGAGATGGGAATGGAAGGAGAGAGGAAGCAAGTCTGGGAAGAAAGGAAGAAGGGGGGAGGAGAAAGAAAAAAGTGCCACAAAAGGTGAAGAAGAAAAAGATTGGGTGCCTCGCTTTGCTGCTGATTTATCAGGACGTTGGAGACGGGAGGCCGAGGGCAGGCGAGGGAGCCTCCGAAGCAAGGAAAGCAAAAGTTGAAAGGGAAGGAGGGGCCGAGGAGAGGGAGGAGGGAGGGAGGAGGAAGACAGGAGCGGAGCGGAGGGCCTGCATGACAATGTGCATGTGTGAAAGAGAAAGAGGAGAGGAAGAGGACAAGGCGTGTAGAATGGGGGTGTGAGAAAGGAAAGTGGGATTTCTGCGAAGACGTGGAGAGGCGAGAAAAGGGGAGGAGGGACAGAGCCGGGCGAAGTGAGAGTGTGTGAGTGTGTGTGTGTTTTAAAGAGCGAGGGAGAAAAGTGTAAAAATTGTGCGAGGGGAAAAAACACAACTTGGGATGAGTCCTGGAGTAGAGTAAAGGAGGCGGGGCAGAGGGGGGAAATGGGGCCAGGCGCGCTTGCTTAGGAGTAAGCGCCGTGGAAGGAAGAAGCCCGCTTCGGATCCGGCTGGGAGAACTGAGATGGAAGAAGACGCGCGCGTGGGAGATCCGGGCGAGGGGAGCAGGTTCTCACGTGCAGCGAGAGCGCACGTCGGCCAGGGAGGGACGCCCTTCGCCTTCGCTCAACTTGCTCTCGCAAGCAGCGTCTGGGGGCGAGCGCTGCCAGTGACAACCCCGGGAGCCTTTGAAATAGTACCTGCTCTCCAACGACCAGGGGGGGAAAAAGTCCTTGCCAAGTTGAGCCACAACTCGAAGGGCGCCATTTTAACTCTGGGTTGCTCTGTTTTGTTTTGTTTTTAAACAACAACACAAGTTTTTTTTTAAAAAAGCACGTCCTGGATTCCCCCAGGTATATATAAACAGGTGTAAACAAAACAAAACAAAACAAAAACAGAATAAAACACGAGAAACCCCAAACTCCTCTGCCCTGTTACTTTTTTTTTTAGTCTTTTGTCAGCAGCTTTGAACTTGAGAATTAACTTGCTTAAAGTGGCAGGCACACGATGGAGCAAGGAGGGATGAGGCCGTGGAAGTGATCGCGAGTGGGGTGGCAAACTCAAGCGTCCTTCTTGCGGGGTAAGGGATGATTACCCCCACCAGTTTTGCTTGTGAAGTGGAAATGAGGAATGAGCGCGCCAGGGTAGATTGGCTGCGGGGGAAAGAAATGGCCCTTTCCTCCAGGGATTTCTCTTGACCACAGGAGGGAAAATAAGCGCTGAACGGAGAAACAAATGCATTTGATGCTCACCAGGTTGGCACCTTAGCACCTTGCCCACCAGACCTGGAGGGACCGCCGCAACCAGAGGACTTGAGAAGCAAGGGTCCGGATCCCAAGTGGATTTCTAAGTAGACACGTGCACTCCACGTAGATTCGGAAATGTCATCGTGGATGGATGGGGTGGGGGGAAGCTTATTTACTCCCCAAAGACGCGCACCTAGGATGGCAGCTTGCGCCTTTTCTAATTTGGCAAGAACGAGCACCAGACGGGCAGCAACAGCAACGAAGAGTCTTGTGGCACCTGAAAGCCAAACAGATTTATTGTGGCATAAGCTCTGTGTGGAGGGGAGCCAACGGAGTCTGATGCACGACGTGTTTGTCTGTAAACTGAGTGCTAACTGAGGATAACACTTCCTGCCTCTGAGGAAGAGGGATCTGCACCACCAAAGCTTATGCCGCGGTCCGTCTGTTAGGCTTTATTTCGAAGGTGCCACTTCCTGTTTTTACTACAACAGAGTCTGGCTCGTTCTTCTGAGCGTCTGGTGGATTCAGAGTGGATTGATCAGAAATGTCTTGAGCAGTTAGGAATACTCCTGCGGTGGGAAATAACTCTAGGGATTCCGGTTTATATCTTTTTTTCCTTTTTTTTTTGGAGGGGACGGAATGGGGAGAATATGATTAATTCTCCCTCGCCTTATGTACCAGTGTCAGGTGCATCAGTCACTCTGCCTTTGGATTAAACTTATCTTTGCCTTGAATTGTGTGTGTGTGTGTGTGTGTGTGTGTGTGAAGGGCACAGGTGTTCAGGAAGTGGATTCAAAATCACTCGGAAAGTTAATATTAAGATGAGAGAATTACAACTGAAAAATTATAATCCTTTGCAATTTAACCCCCCCAAAAAAACCCTTACACCCCCTTAAAAGAAACAGCAAACATCTCTACTACTTTCTCGCAGAAAGCAAACATATCAAGGAAATGTGACTAAATTAGATTCATTCTCCCGATACTGCCATTGATTGCAGAAGTAGGTATTTATTTGTCAGGGACAAATAATAATAAAAAAATTCTCCCCTTCTCCACTTCCTTAGGAACAGGAGTCGCTCAGTTCAGTGCTCCTGGATCGTCTTGTTGTATTAATATCTGGCTCGCGAACCTCCTTTTTTTAATACCCAGAAAAATGCTTAAAGTCCTCTTGTCCACTTCAGTCTCCCACTGAAGAGATACACAAACCCTGACGTGTTAGACTACAATGCGTTTGCCTCCCGGACACCGAATGCCGAGTCGGATATGGAGAAAGAGCGCTTGAAACCTCTAATGCGCCGGACATTGAGTTAAATAGAGCTTTGGCGAGTTTAGGAGCAATCTGCAAAAAGTTTGGAATCGATTTAACCTCTTTTACGTCGGGCGTTTTGCAAGAAGGCGCAACCTTTTGTGTGGAAGGATTAAAAAAAAAATAAAGGCGAAGGGGAGGGGACAAGAAAAGGACTCAATTTATGGACTCTGAAAGAAAAGACAACATCCATGTTTCCCCCCCTCCTTCATCCAGGAAAGGTTTGATATTTATCTCGTTCTGGTAGATTTTTCGAAGGGACTTGCTGGAAAAGTCTCCCCCCCTCAAAAAAAAAAAAAAAAGTGGAAAGGGAGCGGGGACTCGCCAGCAAAGCGCATCCCGACGGGCTTTTTAAACACTATTGATTGGGACAAGCTGTTCCAAACCCCAGTAACACTTAATCTGCCTGTTAATCAAGGCGCTAAGGAGCTCAATGCGAGTTTTATTAGCGACTAGAGAACACAGCGGCAGAAAGGATCAAAAGACTCGCCCCCTTGATATTTGTCAAGCCAGACTCCCCCCCAAAAAATATATTTTCAATTACAGAGCAATTCTTAGCTTATCATCGCCGCCTAACAGAAACACGCAGATGGTTTCACAAACGCTGCCAGAGAAACAACTGCAGCAAAGGCAGCGAGCGAGACCCTCGGAACTGCAGCCTCCGAAAACCCCACGCCGGACCCGACCCGGCACTGCGCGCCTAGAAAGGAGCACTGGCTCACCTCAAAGCGAAACCAGTGTCATTATTTCTCTCTATCTCCCCCGCTGCCTTTCTATTTACCACCGGAATTCGAGAGAGAGAGAGAGTGGAAGGCAACACCTGAAAAGCCTATGCCAATTTAGACTATCCTTCCTTCCTCACTTTTCTCTTTTTCCCCCTCCTGTGCCTGTTTGCGAACGAAGAACTTTAGAGTGGGTTTGCAGTCAAAACGGACGGAAAGAATTTCCTCAACACCACCTCACTCAGATTTTTTTTTTATTAAAAAGATATTTTTTTTTAATTATCCTGAAGGGAAAAAGTTGAATGTGTGGGTTGGTTCTTCTTTTTTTTTAATGGACTGGCCCGACGCTCAAGTCCGTCCCTCCCCTCGAGCTGAGTTTCAATTAAGGTAAAGGTGGAGAAATATTATCCCGTCTGCGAAAATCAACATTTTGATCTTGTCATTTTTAATGCGAACCGATGGTGCTGGATGTCAACGAGATATGCGTATAAAAGACTATGTGGTCAGAGGTAATTATGTCACAGCTTTTTCTCGTCGTGACAGCTGGATAAACACAATCTCCAATAAACATCTCTAATTAGGGAGGAGGACCTGCGAGGCTGGGTGTCTGATTTATTACTCACCCAGAATGTCCATTTACCGGTGGAGATTAAAGTGGACTCCCCCCTTTTTTTTGGTGCCAAAGCACCTTAAGGGATTTGGTGTAGGAGCTGAGGGGCTGGGAAGGCGAAGTCTTACAGCTTGATCCAGGAGAGTGAATGGAAAAGAGAGAGAAAGAGAGAGGGAGGGAGGGAGGGGAGAGCCATTATCCTACTAATCCCTTTTTTCTAATTAAGTACAAAGAAGGAACAGGAGAAGGAAGAATCTAAAACACAATTTACCTGCCTTGGGCTGCAATCCTAAGCGCCCTCCTATTTCCAGCTACTTGAATTTACTCCCAAGCAACCGTGTGCGCAGGATACCGAGTTTTACTTCTCAGAAAGTGCGGTGCGGACTTCTCCCGGCGCAACTCAAGCTCTGTTTACTCACGAGTAAGTCCAATCGGTTGAAACAGAACTTTTCCCTACAAATAATGGGTGCCTAAGATTGGAGTTTCGATTGTGCGGCTGAAGTTGCGTTTCTGAACTTAAATGCACCGTACAATTCCCCTTGCTTTCTCTTCCACTAACAAACCAACCATCCAGAGTTAAGCAAAAACAAAAACACAACGAGAGGCTCCACCAGGCACCAACCAGGGTATTTCCGCACACCTTTTCAGACGTTCGAGCAACCTAATGGAAAAGAAAACCATCACCACGCCGCAACCTCAAAGGAAGTTAAACGCGCGGATCCAGGAAGCAGTTCCCAAAGCAGAAAGTTTTAGAGACAGTTAACCTGACGGCAACAGATGACAGGCGCAACAGAAAAACAGCAATCTCTTCTCTCTCCACCCCTTATAATACACCGACTGCATTTTATGCAGACCAGGAATACTCAGCAGTATACTTTTACATACAGCCTAGCATTAAACACATCACCTGGAAACAAATCCTATGGATTTCTAAGGGACTGCCTTGAAAACACCGACGTTTCCGGCTAAGGCCCCAAAGCTCCTTTACTCTGGAGTAAGTCTTACTGGGCCGATTTACCTGTGCTTAGAAAGGAACGTCAGTTTTAACTCCAACGGAAGACGTATCGATTTCGGCTGAAGTGGTTTGTGGATCGGGCGCGAAAAAGCGCGCTTCGCAGGTTGCCTTAGTAAAGGATTCTTTACCCCCTCCCGCTCACTCTTCCCTTGGTACAGCTTCGGTCTGCGAACAATGATCTAGCCGAGACATTACCTTGCTGGAAACGTGGGGACGCCCCAGAGTTGGTGGGTGCCTCAACGGACAGCCCCTCCCGGCTCGCCTAAGCGCAGACGTCGCCGCGAGCAGAGCCATCCAGGACGGGGAGAGAGGGGTGTGGATTTGCGCCGGTTCACAAACAGACCCCGGTTGGCAAGTGGTTACCAGGCACGTGAGTGAACTGACCGGAGAGTGGAGCAGGACTCGAGGTCAGACTGGGGGAAGGAAAAAACAAAAAACCAGCCCCAAACTCCGCAAAACCCCGAAAGATCCACCGGACCCGAGGATCTGTCTGCGCCAAACGCCCCCGACGTCTCTGCGCTGCAGAGTCCCTTCTGAAGTGCCCGGAAGCTCAAGGCGAGCCGGGCGTGCGTAATCCGAAGCCCCTGTTCGTTCTACCTCAGTGGAAATCGTTAATTATTAGGTCTTCCCAAGGAAAGCTCAAATCACACGGTCTGGGGATTGAAAATGCTACCCAAGTATGCGAGCCGCATTCTTTCGTTCCCTTGCCTGAACTTCGGGAGCGCCCTGGCGAGGGCTGGAGGCCGTGGGCGAGGTCAAGGACCAACTTCTTCCTCCTCTCTCAACCCCCCCCCCCGCGCACCCACCCCATGCCTCTCCCCACACATCCCCAAACCGGTGGCAGCGAGCACATGAGCCGGTGTTTCCATACAAGGCGCCTCGGTTGCCCAAGCGGGGAGAGATCAGGGCTGCTCCAAGCCTCGCGTCTGCCCAGCCACGCCAAAGCCCAACTCTCTGCCCCGCGCCCTCTTTCTTCCTCCCACCTGTTGGCACTGCGCTTTCTGTGCGCGCCCCCTCGAACCTGGCAGTTGGTCACGAGCCAGCGTGACCCCCTTTTATGCCGCTTGTAATTAACACTCCGCACAAGGCTGAGAGAGATGGGAGGGGGGCGGAAATAAGAGTTTTTAAAAAATATAAATAAATCCTGGGCTTGGTAATGGAAACGAAGAGGTCAGAGGGAGAGAAAGAACGGGAAAGAAAGGAAGGAAGAAATCTAGACGAGGCAGAGAAGGGGAGAAACAAACGCAGCGGCAATTGTTTCAGGAGGAATCCGGCAACTCCCCCCGACGCCTGGATAAAGAGCATCAAATGTTTACCTGTTAGAGAGAGGGCAGGCAGAGGCTCATGATCCGCGGGTTCCCAATTGCGCCTCTGAGAGTCGGTAACTGGCAGGTTTGATCGCCAATTTCTACATAAGAATCTGCCACACAGTTTAAATGTCAACGACAATAAAAAAGAGGGTGCCTGGCTTTGCACTAACTTTCCCTTAATATCAGCGCCAGCGCCTCTCCCATTGGCTGGGCTGCCCCGGTGACGTCACGGCGGACAGTAGTTAGAGCTGAGCTCATAAGAAATTTTAGACAACAAGAAGCTCACCGGGGCCGGGAGATAATTCACCTTCCCGTGACCATTGGAGGGGCTGAGAGGCGAGGCGCACGTGGACGTGGGCCAGCCATGCTGGCTTGTTCGCTCCTGCCTGCCTGCCTGCCTACCTCTATCCATCCATCCAAAAAAGAAAAAGAAATATGTTTCATTATAGTCAGATCCCACTACCAAACAAGGTCCTCCTGGCTGATCCATAGAAGCGACTCTACCATAATATGTGGTCTGTGGAGTGTTGTCCAGAGGACGGCCCTTGCAATAATAATAATAATAATAATAATAATAATAATAATGCTTTAAAAAACATCACAGCGATGATTTGTGATTCTGAGTGTTCTTTTGCCTTTGTCTTCCTCTTGGATCCTCATACTACGACTGCCCTTCCCTTCCCCCCGGTCTTTCACCCGCACAAAAGGAAGATCTTTTCTCCTTTTTCTTTCCTTCTGCGTATACAGGAAAATCCGCAGGTTTAATTATGACGCAGCATCTTCGGCACGGCGGACGCAGAGATGTCCCTGGACTTTGGTGTGTGTGTGTGTGTGTGTGTGTGTGAAGTTCTGGAGAAGAGCTACCAGGTGCAGCAGAGCCGCCGACTCTCAGTGACCGTCCAAAGTCGAAGCCTGGGTCTTTCTACCTGAGGCTCCAGATCACACACACAAAACCCCCACTCTGCCCACGGCTCAGTTATCAATAAAATCAACCTTTATCACTTGGTTCCTAGGTTTCTGTTTATGGAAGGGCTCCAGTCAGGGGGAAAATCCAATTTGTACTTTTGGATGGCTACTGGGTTGTAGCACTGGCGAAGACGAGGCTTATACTGTATATTCGCACCCAAGCAACCGATGCTGCCTTCAGAGGGGTCTGGATCTAAATTTTATTTTATTTTATAACTGTGTAAAGCTGTCCAGTTATTAAAAGTCGATCATTAAAATAAATTGGAAGAGAAATTCAAACTGCGCAAGGACTTTCACTTCGAATCACTGAACACCTCAAACACCGAGGTGTGAGAGGTGAGTTGATATTTTGTGGAGGTTTTCTTCCAACCGCGATTCAAAAGAGGACCAGCGGATCCTTTCTATCTCTCTCTTCTCCCCTCCCCACCTTTCTCTAATCAATTTTTAAAACGAAGGGCGTTCGTTTTAAAGTTAAGCCCCAAGTTAAGCGCCGCTTATTTCAATGGAAGAATGGCGCCCTCGCTCATCTCTCCTTCCCACAGGAATGAATGGGACCTAGAAGACCATAGCGCTGCTTTTCATTTCAGAGGGGCTGACACAACCTTTACGCAGAGACCAGGCCGCATCGCACTTTTTTGGCCCAGAGGGTGGTGTTAGAATAATCATCAACATCTTGCTTTAAGGTCCCTTTCTTACAACGACACCGAACATGTCCCCTTTTCCTTAAAGTTCTGGAGAAAACGAGGTTTTCTCTAGGCAGCTAATAGTGTTCCCTCGCCCAGCAATGTTTTCTGAAGGGCAGGGAAGCTACCCCCTGCTCACACTTTTGAGGACACAATCCACTGGATAGTTCTCCTGAGTAAACAACTGGGGTTGGGAAGGTGAGTTATGTTCCGAAGAAACCCACGAGATTTAAGTGATGGGGAAAACGGTGGAGATCTTCTTTCCTTTGAAACCGGGGCAGAATTCTCTCTGCAGGCAACGTCAAGCAGGTAACGTGGTCTGGGATTGCGGGGGGAGGATCAGAATAGTTTTAGTCGCATAGTAACACCCCCCCCACACACTTGTGGGTTTCCCCTCGGCACCTTCATCCTGTCCCCTTAAAGGCAAAAACACCAGGACGGGTGGGGTGGGGGAACACACTTGTCGGAGTGAATACTTTTGTTTGTCAGGAAAGAAGCGCGCACGCCCGAAAGTCGCTGTAGCTTTGATTGAACCGCGCGTCGGTCTCTCGGGAGCTGGCAAAGGTTTCTCTGGGCTTTGTTTGCGGCGGATCCCTGAAAAGGGAGGCGTGGGGAATAAGTCGTCCTTGATGCACCCACACATCTAGAAATACCCGTCGGGGAGACCGCCCACCGCCGAGAAAGGATAGCTTCTCTTTCTACATGGTTTTCAGTAGCTGCGTTGCTCCCCACTTCTCCTTCTTAGGGACCGTCTCCCTGTTGGTACACTTACGGCTGCGATCCCCAGCACACTTACCCAGGAACAAGTCCCGCTAAAACCCATTTAACTTCTGAATGAATAAATGGAGGATCGGGATGCAAACCAGATCTTGATCTAACAGGCGAGGCGAGGGAGGGCTGTCTACCACCCGCATCCCCCAGCTTCGTTGAGCTCCCTGGTGCGTATACATATATGCATACGTGTGAGTGTGTGTGCATGTATATGCACGCGCACGCGCGCACCCACCCACCCACCCACCCCTGACCTAGAACTTATGCCTGACGCTCTAAACTGCTTCAGAGCTTTGTGACACTCCTTTGGGGTTTTCTGTTAGGGATTAGCCGGGTTCCTTATAAGGAAGTCCATCCCCCAATGTTACGTAAAGATTTCCAGAGCAGAAAAAGGAATGAAGAAAGGACAGGCAGCCGATCCAGCCAAAGCACCAGCAATCTGTTCCGAATGCAATGCGCTTCAGAATCGGATCGCAGCTGCAGGGGGATTTCGAATTGGCCAGCGGCGAACCCTTAGGCCTTCCTGCCTGCGCCCTGTGATGCCCAATGCACCTTTTCACTCGTGGTCTTTGGGCTGCGGGGGGTGGTGGAAGGTGCCATCCTAAGAATCTTTGTTTGGGGGCCAATCCTGCCGAGCTGGTGAGGGTTTCTGTCCTAGTATAAAGGCCGGCGTGGAAGCTGGGCTCAGTGGTACAGGCAGCCCATGGGCCGCCAGGATCAATCCCTCGCATCCCGGGTTGATCACATATTTCTGGGACCCTTGAACATATCGATCATGTTGGGACCGGAAGGAAGTTCGCGTGTGGGTTGGGCGAAAGTTCATTTGATGAATGCGCTTCGATTTAGGACCGGTGTAGGTGCACGCTCATAGAATTATACAGTTGGAAATGACCCCAAGGGTCATCTAGTCCAAACCAGGCTGCAGCTTCAAGGCAAATGCGGCCGAATAGAAAGCCAACCCGTCAGGCGCACGGAAGGCCAGCCTGGTAGTGGCGGTTCTGTTTCGGGCTCAGGCTAAGAGGGCGATCCTATAGTTAGGACAAAGGCCCACGAAGCCCTTCTGGGGACTAAGGGGAACCGCCTGAACCTCTCCTCTCTCCTCAGTCTTCAAAAGGCGCCCGCGTGGAAACGCCTGCGGGTCTCAGTGGAGTTCAATTCTTCGAAGAGAGATGTTCCCGACTAGTCAGAGTGGAGACAGAGCGTCCTCTGGGCAGGCTACTCTGACCCGCTTGGCTTTGCGTGCTGGGGGGTGGGGAGGGGGTTAGGAGGAAGGTCCTGCATCTTCTTCCCTTCTCACCCCCCATGACCCTCTCGCTGCCTCTTATTCCTGCCTCCTCTTCTCTCTCCCCCCCGCCCAGAAAGCCAAGGCTCTCCCCGACGGCCCTGCGGCAGGTCAGGTTGGCCTAGGAGGAGCAGCAGCGCCGCCGCCGCCGCCTCCCTGTCTCTTGAGCCGACGCGGGCAGGCAGGCAGGGAGGGAGGGAGCCGTGGCCAAGGGCTTGTCAGGCGAGAAAGTGTGTTTGCCTGATTGTTTGGAGTTGCTGCCATTAAGGGAGCCGGGCTCCCTGCAACCCAGCAGGGTTCTCCAAGGAAGCGCTGGAAACGCCACGGCTCCCGCCTGCTTATCTGGCTGTCAATAAAAGGAGATGGCTCCGAAAAGCAGGGCCAGGTGCTGCCTTGCCTTCTCTCCAACCGGCGCGGCTCTTCAGAAACTGATCAGGCGTGAAGCCAAGTCTGCTTGGCCAGGCCTTCGGAGCGAGCAGACAAACAGTCCCCCGGCCAACGCCCGAGTGTTGCCCGGGTTGCCTTCCGAGCTCCGGGGGCGGCGAGTGTATGTGTGTGTGTATGAGAGAGAGAGAATTAAACATAAAAAGGCAGTCAGGACACACAAGCGCGCGCACACACACACACCGGGTGATAAACGCCGCAGCGTGGCTTGATGATCCCGATCCGATCCGGATTTGAAAAGGGAAACCAGTCGGTAGGCACGATCTGGATGCTGGGCTGGGGCGCGCGCGCGAAAAGCCACCCCCCCCATCTTTCGGACAGCGCAGCCACCTCCATCGGATCAGATGGCAGTTTAATTACACGCTTGCCTTTTCCTCGCTCTTTCCCCCCTCGAACAAATTTTCAGGCGAGCATAATCTCAGTCACTCCGCATCTCTGCGGCGTGGAGTGACATGGCTTTGGGAGGAGACCCTCTGCCACCCCCCTCCCCTCCGTTCCCTCCAGGCTCCCGTTGGGTAGCCCCTTAAGCCCCTTCTAAATTAAAACAGGAGTAAACAAAGAGGTGCATCTGTGTCTAAGAGGTGTGTGTTTTTGAGAGAGAGAGAGAGAGATCTGAAATCCCCGTCATCATTTCCTAACTTATTCGGGAAAGAGAGAGAGGAAGAAATCCCACAAACTTCAAAGTGAGCATAAACATCACCTGAACTGGTAACGTTTGGGTCTGGAATACGTGTGTGTGTTTGTGGAGAGAGAGAGAGATCGCCCCTCTCTTCCCTCTTCGCAGGTCTTTCAACGTGCTGGAATCGTCCTCCAAGGAGCTAAAAAGCTGGCGCCGTGTAAACGCGGACGGGAACTTCCCTTTTCTCTCTCAGAGTAACATTAAGGGGAAATTAACATGCCGTCGAGGTAGATAAGGCGCTAATGAGGGCGCTGAGCTGGCAAGGAGCGGAGCCCTGCCTTCAATGGAGGCGTTTTGCCGCTCAGCCTTTCTGATGGGCAGGAGGCTCGAAAGCTGTGAAGCCACTTTGAATGGGATGCAGGCAAGAGGCAACAATAATGTGTTACAAATTTATAAGCATTATACATATTTGATTTACACAGCGATAGGAAGCCTCTCTCTCTCTCTACAAGGATGCCCCAAACCCCCGTGTGTTCGCTTAGATGGAGCAATTCGCAACCCACACACACAGACACACACACACGGGCACACACACACGCGCTGTAATAATGAGGTTTAATTCTCTACCCAAGCAGAACTTGAGCAATAATAATAAGCACATCAGAACAATTTGTTTACTGTGGCATCGCACAGACGGCAAAATAAGGTCCGAGAAGGACTAGCTGCTAGAAAAGGGTGTTTATTTTTTTATTTTTTAAAAAAAGAGGGGGAGGGAAAAAATTAAATAAAACAAGCCAGGGACGAACCTAAATTTCACAGAGGAGGGGAAATCTTGCGAGCAGAAAAGTGGCTTGAATCGAAGGCAAAAGGGGGAAATGCCTCCGTAGAAGGGATCTGGTGCCCTTGCTCAAGGTATGTGTTTTTTCAAATAAGTCGATTACTTAGTAAATGCTTTTCCTAGGGTCTCCTTGGACTTTGATTTCAGAACGTGGGGAGGGGGACACCTCAAACCCCCTCCCTGCTGTCTCCTGGTCTTTAGTTTTTCTCGCACACATTTCCATTTCAGAGATGGATGTCTTGTTGTTGTTTTTTATCTGTCCCTTACCTACCTGCCTATCTGCCTTTCAGGCTAACTTTTAGGATGATTTAAACCGATGTAAAGCAAAGCTGTGTCTGCAACAAGAGAAATGGGTTGTCATCGGATAGATCATGCCTAGGTGGGCTTGCCCGTGTTGACGTGGGATCCAGCTCGGATTCAAATCGATAACAAAAGCCCTCCTTGCTGCACCTGGTCAGGGTAGGTCTAGGTGACATCAAGAATCCGGCGGCAAGCCTGGCTAGGCAAGTTGAGAAATAATTCTCTTCCTGGGTCTCATGATACCTTGTTAACCAGCTCTCCCTCCTCATACCCTCCGAAAACATCGCCTAGCATTTTTCAATACTTGCAAATCACAGTATTGCCCGACACCCTCAACGCATGATGGGAAGGCAAGTCCAGCCCCTCTGATATCTGCCGGACCGGCTCTCAAATAATGTTTTGCAGATCAGGCGGTAAAAAGGCTGCAAGGTCTAACAGGCACCTTTCCTGGGGAGCATGTCCCGTTGAACTCATTGGGACTGGCTTCTGAGGTTGGTTCGCTCTGCAAATGAAAGCAACCCCCTTGGAATTGGATGGCCAGACTTTCCAGTCGGGAGGCGAGATTTTTCAGGGGGCTTCGACTGTAGCGAGCTATAGGCAGAATCTCAAGCATTGCCAGAAGGCTTGTGCCATTGCGCCCAAGTTTTGCAGAACAGAAAGATCCAAAAGTTACACGCAACGCTGTCATTCTGACAAGGACGGAAGGTTTGCAGCGCCCTGACTTTCCCTCTCTAGTTTGTCAGGCGCTCCTAGGGAAGGAAGGAAGGAAGGAAGGAAGGAAGGAAGGAAGGAAGATAGATCCTGGGAAATTCCGTGTTAGGTTTGAAAAGAAGAAAGGGAAAAAAGTTCCTAAGAGGCATAGTGCGATCTTAACGGAGTTCAGAAGTAAAAGTACAGCCTTAATTTAAGATAGTCTGAGGAGGGGAAGGTAAGGAAAATAATATGGGGGAGGGGGAGATGAATCCGACTCCCCTAAGCTGGGTTTTCCTTCCCTCTCCCCTGCCCCCTTCAGGATTCTTAATGGTATTAATTTGGCTCCAACATGATCCCGGCTTGTCTTGTATTATTTGCCCCCCCCCTTCCCCCCTCCTTTAAAACATTTTCATAATAAGCGTGATGCTGGCCAATGTTGTTTGATTTGTTTTTCTGCCCCTCATCCCCGAGCTCCCCCCCCTTTCCTTTTTTCTCCCCCGACTGAGACATTAGCTGAATTCCCTGGGGGTGATTGGATGCAGCTCGCTGAAAGTCGACAGGCACGTCCTGGATGTTAGAAATTCACTTTTCCTCGACGTGACAAGGCTGAGTTCGATCTACAATTGTATTTGAAAGGGCAACGAGCGGAAAGATCTCCCATCATTAAAGCTTCTCCTCTCCTTTAGCGAAATAACAAGATACTTCATTTGCACACAAACACTCCCTTTTTAAAAAAATAAAAAAATAAAAATAAAGACAGAAGACGCCACCTCGACCCTCGATAAGTATAATAATAATAATAATACTAATAATAATAATAATAGTAATAATAATAGCAGCTCTTGCTGCATAAAGGAAGCACATTGAAAGAAAAAGTGGGGGTGTCCAGGATCCCCGCCCTCCACAAGCGTATCCGAGCTTCCCCAAAGCGCCCATGTGATCCAGTTGACTTTTTTACTTTAAATCTTGAATAAGATGTGAGTTGTAACAAGGGGATTTGCACTTACTCCCTGACCCTTGTAATTGGATTAAATATAGACTGAGACGTACAAAAACAGACCAAGATTGACACCTGCCAACTGGGCTTCCTTATGATTGATTGTGATGCTTCGTGCTGGCAACAATAATGAAACAAATTGTATGGATAAAAACGGCGCGTTTGTCATTTCCGTGCCATAAGAGGAGAAGAGGCAGCGTGGCTGGCAAGCTGTTCGCTGACAGCCCAGAGCGGAGCGGGCACGTTGTGCAGGAGAGCTCGGGCCAGCGAGGCCAGCCGCTGACAGGGCAAATGATCCCTTGTCACAACCTCCTTAAATCGCCCCCCCTCCCCAAAGTTTGCCCATTAACATATAGATTGCTCGGGCGAGGGCGAGGAGGGCTTCCAAAAGTTACCACGCGCGGAGCAAGCCGCCGAGGAAAGTCTCGGAGCGCGGAGAGCCTGGTCTCCAACATGGCTCCTTCTTGCGCGCGTCGGAGGAAGCAGAGGCGGCCGAAAAGTCGCTCCTCCTTCGCTTCCGTGGGGTGGGCGGCGGCGGGGCATTTCCCCGAGGCAGCAACGGGGCCCTGGCCCTGCTGGGGTGGGGAGAAGGCGCAGGCCAGCCACGGGGAAGGGAGGCGCCTGGAGGAGCCCCGAAGGTCCCCTCTCTCCGCAGGACCAGGCCGAGTTCAAGCGAAAGGCCCCGCCGCGTCCTGGAGGCTGGAAGGAAAGGGCGCTGCTGCTTCTCCTCTCCGGGCTCAGGCCCCCCGCGCCCACAGCGGGCCGCAAGTTCGTGGGAGAGATCGGGGCTCCTTCTCGCCGGCAGAAGCGAAGTGGCGCCGATTTCGCGGCGGGGAACCGATTGGGAAATGGAGGCGCCGAAGAGCTCCTCGTGGCTAAAGCGGCAGCCCAGGGCTTGTGTGTGTGTGCTGCTTCTGCAGACTGAGGCCTGGTCCTGAAAGCAGCCTCCAGAGCCGAGTTGAAGCCCCGCTATCGCGCGGTGAATTTCGGGGTCAGGCACAAAGCCGCCCGCCTTCCTGCTCAGTTAGGCGGCCTCTTACAGCCGCCCGGGGGGTCACTTCCTCCTTCCTGGATGTCTCCTAATTTCTGCCTCCCAAACGCCAGAGGGAATCCTACTCTCGCCCTTCACCAGTCCAACAAGTGGTCCTTATTTCAAACGACGCCATACCAAGGGACTACAACTCCCATGATACCTGAGCATTGGCCTTGCTGGCTGGGCTGGTGGGAATTGTAGTTCGCCAGCGTCCGAAGGGTGCCACGTCGGCTTCTCCAGCCTTAAGTACTCTTCCTGCAAGCTATTTATTCGCGATCCTTAACACCACCCTGATCTTGCTTTTCTCACCTGCAGCGCGGGAAGCCGAAGGTGCGGTTTTTAGCCAGGCCCATAAAGTGCCTCTTTTGTTCACAAGAGCATAGGAGACGCTTCTGACTGCGCCCAGATCTCCCCATGTCTCTTGGAACTCCAACCTCTAGTCCCCTGAACCAGAGTCTCTTGCTTTGCACCTTGGCTGCGGCGTGCGATTAGAAACGGTGCAAAGCTTTTAATCGGTCGTCTGAGAGGGATACTTTTAAACTCCCCTCGCCGGCTCACTGATGCTTTTTTCCCTGCGGGCTGCTAACGCACAGTGGCAGCGAAGGGTCGTGGCTCCGGTGGCAGAGCATCTGCGTTGCATGCATAAGGCCCGGGGTGCATCTCCAGATAAGGTTGGGAATGGCGCCTTGTCTGGAAAAGCCTGCGGAGCCGCTGCCAGCCGGTGTAAGCAGTGCTGAGCTACATGAGCCACTGTCTGTTATATGTTCCTATGATCTTGAATAAGGCTTATAGCTCAGTATAAGCTACTGTTCCATATTAAAACTTATCACTGGGCACACTTGGCCCAGTGAAGTTGGCCACCCCATTTCGGAGTTCTAGAGAGCCTGCATCAGTTTAAGACGATTAAAAATAAATCTAAGAGCACTTTATCACTGCCTGAAGGCTTTGAGTTGTTTCTTCAGTTTATACGGTCTGTCCGCCAAATCTTCTGTTCTGTCTGGAAGAGAACATATTTTCATCAAAACACAACACTTTCCCTCTCTTTGGTGTAACTGCATACAGGAAAGGTTCTCCAATAACCCAATTCACAAGCCAGTTAAACCCAAGTAATCTAACTGGGGTTAAGGCTTGCATCCTCCTAAGCAAGTGCCATTGAAAAAGGAAATGATAATTTACCTTTTTGGGGGGAGGGGCTTTCTTTTTGGAGTAATGCCAAGTCTCCTACGCCTTAATGTATTTGGCTTATTGTTCTGCAGTGTTCAGGCACCTTTCTATTCCCAAAGTGGTGACTGGTGCTTCCTGTAGTCCTTCTGCGCTGGAGGCTCAAGATTTGATAGCTTCTGATGAGTAACTCCAAATGAGTGCATTAATATGTAAATGGAGCTTAGTGGCTCTAAATCTTCATGGCCTTTTCCTCAGCCTACAAAGTTCTGTTTGTTTTGCGTTACACACACACACACACACTTGAGCCAAGTGACACTGGTATGGAAAAGGGAGACATTAATGGTCCAATTAAATAGCAACGTGCATGACATTACACCTCTAGCCAATAACTAGGCAGGAGCTTCCCCCCCTTTATTTCAAGTACAAAATGCCCTTTCTTCCATGAATGAAACAGGAATGGACTTTACAGATCCTAGAAAGGTAATGCCAGACTTCACCTCCTGCTCTTCTATGGTGTGGGCTACTAGGTTACAATTAGAAGGAACTCTTCCAATGCTAAACAGAGCAGCCCACATCACAGTCGAGTGAAATGGGGAGTCCTCCAGAGGTTGTCGGTGGAAGAGGGCAGCAAAAAGAGGACCAGCAACAGGGTAAACTGGGTGCTTTTGTGACCTATGGGAGAAGGAAGAATTAGTTTGAGCTACGTGGTGGAGAAGCGTTTTAGTGGCTGCAGTTACTGCGAAGGGGATGAAACTGATGCTGATTCCCATTAGGAAGTAGGTTCAGCTGAAATTCATGGGACTCGTTTTTGTGGTGTCCTGGGCAGTAAATCACTCTGAGGCCTATTGGTTTTATGTCCAAGAGAAAAATAATGGACCAATGGCTTCAGATTACAAGAGAGGAGATTCTGACTCAACATCAGGAAGAACTTTCTGACAGCAAGAGCTGTTCGACAGTGGAACAGACTCCCATGAGAGGTGGTGGACTCTCCTTCCTTGGAGGTTTTTAAGCAGAGGCTGGATGGCCACCCGTCATGTACGATCTAGTTGAGATTCCTACATTGCAGGGGTTGGGCTACATGACCCTCAGGCCCTTGCAGCTCTATGGTTCCATTAGTCTATGATTCTATGAGCATATTCACAGAGTGGACAAATATATGACTCCTTGGCCAGCTAATGACACCCACTGCTTTCTATTGTGCTGTTTGGAAGCCTTGGGACAATTTCAATTATGCATGTAAATAAGTTGACTTCTCTATATTTGGCTCAACCTTGATCGGCACTGGACTGGATATCAAGGCCGCTGCCATCATTAGGCCATATTGGCAGCTGCCTAGGGCATAGGCCTCAGAGGGGTGCAATACAGGCCTTTGAGGGACACAGTTTTATGTCGATTAGATTTTGTTAGCCCTTATACATTTTTGAAAATATTTTGCTTTTATTTTATATTTTGATGAATATTATCGTTTCTACATGACATCTGCTTTTGAAAATTAAGGTTAAGATTTTTTTGGGTGTGTGTGTAAATAATGAACCTTGCAAAATAGCCAGGCCCCAACACTGGGTGATAAGAGAAAGTCCTGCTCTAGGGGTTAGATCTGTGGTGGTGCATTTACCTAGTCAAAATTACTGGATGCCTCCATCTAATGGACATACATGTGTGAAGGAGCCAGTGCTAATGACACCTAGCTCACTTTATGGTCTCGAGGCATGTCATTTGATTGCATCCTTCCTGGTGCCCTCCAGATATGTTGGATCACAACCCATCCATCATCCTTGGTCACTGGCCGGGCTGGATGATCTGATGGGCTGCAGATGGAGGCAGGTTGGACTACTGGGATCACTAAATATTTGGGTTTTGGAAGTCTGTTTCTTATTTTATTCACTATAGATCCACTTGGCTGGATTTCTTGATTTTGTGTTCTTTCCAGCAAAGACTAAGGAGATAAATCTGCAGCCCAGTTTGCATCTACTTGGAAGTGAACTTTCTTGTCAGGAGGGGGTGGGATGGGGATAAGGAATGCAGCCAAATGGAGGGATTCCCTAGCCACCACACCCCTCAGTGGGACAGGACATTGGTCAATGATCACAAAAAGGTCAAATCCAGCCATAGGATTCCAGGTATCTGCCAACATAGGAAGCAGTGCTTCTGCAGGCCTAGTTAGGATCTGTCCTTTGTCAAGAGCCAGAATTGTTCAGCTGGGGAAAATCATGCCCCTCCCTTTAAAAATACTGTCTTATCACCCTCTCACTCCAATCAATCTAATTTTAGTTTATAAAGCATAAAAGAAGTATATTTGGTGCCTATTTCTGGCTGCTTACCTATCATGGAAAAAGACAAGCTACGAGATTCACCCTATCCCCAAACAGCATAAATTGACCTTTCCAGTTCTCTGTAATTGCTACCAAGCTCATTCCTAGAAATTAAAATGCTGAAAGTGATTTGAATTCTGTTAAAGTAAGGGAAGGGGGTGGAGGGGAAGGAGGGGAAAAAATAAAAATAAAAAAGCAAAACAAGAGAGGGACAAAACCGAAGTTCCATCGAATTAGTTTTAGTCCGCCTGCTCTCCCCAGTGACTGCATCTATTAGCATTATAATCTCAAACACCATTTTTTATGTAACACTATTGTTAGTAAATCAACTCCTCAGGTCCACAGAGACGCTGACCCCTGGCAATTCAGTGAAAGTGTAATTATCTCCCCGAATCTTGGACAGATTTAAGAGATTACATTGCAACTAAATCTATATCAATGCTAATTTCTCCCCCCTAGACTCCAGGTGCCGGGCAAGGAGGGGATGGTGCGCCTGCCCAGCGCAACGGCTTACAAAGGGGGGAAGCGCTTGCTGTGGAGAGGGCCAAAAGAAACGGAGCCCCACATAAAATTACACCTATTTCCCCCCCTCTTGCTACAAAACCTGGTTCTTATGAGGCAAAGTTAAACAAAGCAGCTATGCTAAATTAGCGTTAAATAAAGGCGAGTTTAATGCTCGGCTACAGTCAACTGGTGTATATTTGATGGCTAATTGTCTATCAAAATTAAAGAGAAAAGAACAAATGATTCGTTATAAGAAGGTGTTAAAAGCTCCAACAAAGGGGGACATTTCACAAATATAATATCTTTGGATGGTGAATTTGAGTCTTTCGGGTGGTTTGGGAAAAAAGGAGAAGTGAGGGGTGGGGGAAAGATCTGAAAGTCCGTCAAAACAGCACGAGTTTTAAACAGGGAGCCTTTTAAACCTCAAGAATGGGCTCTCTGAATGAAAAGAGAAAATCGACACAATAAAATAGGGCTTTTTTTTTTTAAAAAAGAGAGAAATAAATAATAGCTGAAAGGAACTAATAATGAGCAACAGTACCTGCATTCGATGTAAAGGTAC